ATACAGGCCTGACGCTGGAAGCTGGCGGAAATTTTAAAATGGCGTGGATGCGCGGTGGCAAAAGTAGGCAGTTTTAGGTATAAAGATTGCAGCCCTCATTCTTCAGTATTCCTATCAGGGGCTTAGATTAAATATTTAAAAATAGGGATCAGTGAGTAACTAATAGACAGACAAACAGAAGAACTAATTATTAATGTTGGTGACAGTGATAGATATTCCCATGATGACAGTGAATGTGAAAACTAACTATAAAACGAAAGCAATAGGTTAATTTTTTCTTTCAGATAAGTGATGTTTTTACATTATTTTCTAGTACGCTATTGTCCTATCTGTATTAATACTATAATTTACGCCTACTGAAAGCTTATTTGTGTATCGGTTCCAAGTGACTTACCCAAATAGATGGGCAAGTACCTGCGCGACCGTTTTTGGGATTTTATGTACTACTGTCTCCGATTGTACCTCCCAAACATCCTTAAGAAACACCTTGGACTGTCCAGGTATTCGTGTCTAGGTTATTTTTTTAGCGTTAACTATTTTTTTCAGGAAGAGCCAATTCAAAAAATTGTACCGATCCAATCAGAAGACTACTTCTGTTACTGTATAGTTTCTAAATTTGGTGGTGTAGGTGTTTACGATGTTAACCTGAGCTTTCTAAGCTCCTATCGAATAACGTTTACTAGGGATGATTTAAAAGTAAAAGTTACAGAAGAAAAAATTAGGCGAAACCGCTGGGTAACTGACTGCATTTATCTTTCTAACGTTTCGATACTTGCTCTGGCGAATTCTACCAGAACCATAACATTATACGACGCAGCGAGACTAAAACATTATTTAATTTGGATGATTACTAACATTCCAAATGTTATCCAGGTAAATTTATATCCACTATAAATATATATACTAATCTACACTAATATTATAAAGAGGTAATGCTTGTAAGTTTGAATTAAGGAGATAATTAATCTCCGAAACTATTTTTCCGATTTCAAAAATTCATTCGCCAATATCTAGAGTGCCCATAGACATATATTCATCATTATAATCATCATAGGGCAGGGATGGCGAACCAATGGCACGCGTGCCATTAGTGGCGCGCGACACAATGTTTTGGGCACGTCACGTCAAATAATTTAAATGTGAATCTTCAAGGCATAAATAAAACAATTATCATCATGATGGATGTCATTCGCGCTTTTGAGGCTAAACTGCCAGTTTTCAGGAACGACATCATCACAAGAAACTACAGGTATTTTCCAAATTTGAACAAAAATTTAGAAATACATGTTACTGAAGAATTTGTTTCTGTAATTGATTCATTAATCAAGGAATTTTCAGAAACCGTTTGACAGATGACTCCAGTTTAGCATGCATTCTGGTAAAAGTAGCATCTTACAACTCTAACATACGTTATTTGTCATCTAAAGAGACAAAATTATTTGATGGCACGTCTATGACCTAATTAAACTTTTCTTTATAAAAATGACACGTCGATACGTAAAGGTTTGCCATCCCTGTCAAAGGGTCATCAGTCCTGATTGGTTGTACACGCACCTCCACTCTTTCATATCCTGAACTAATCTTCGCATTTTCCTAAAGCCAAAACATACCACATCCTTGACGATTTGTGAAGAGTAATCTAATCTAGATCCACCTCTACTCCTCTTAACTCCTTAACCTTTCATCTCTGAAAAGGTATTCTACCAACCTATCTCGCCTATTACTTATTCACTTCCATTGCGTCCTCTGTTCTCCTACTCTTTCTAATGTATCCTCATTTCTAATCTTCTCTATCCCATTCGAACGCTTCAGACTTTTCTTTTTACGTCGAGCCAATCGTCCACATTCCTTACCCGTATAGAGCCATGTTCCAGACATACACGCTTTTTTCAAATTTTTATATTAACAACATAGAAGAAGCCTTGGGCTCCATTCCTTCATTGAATTCTATATGTTTACCTCTTAAAAACATTAGCCGTTGTTGCACTATTTTCATTATACTGTAAAGGAAGTTGTGTATTTATTTGATATATGTTTTCTGAATGCGTTTTTAGAAATTTCCACTTTTCTCTTGGATTTTTTAGCGTTCATTGTTTTCTTTCAAAATTGCATTGCATAGCATTGTTGCAAACATGGCAAACTATTGATGCAATATAATTTATAGGTAAGTCTAAGAAGAATAAATAATAGAAGCAAATATAATATTAAAATTTAAAAATAGATAAATGACTTTATATGGTGAAGGGTTTACATTTACCCAAACCACTTATTAATTAACCTTTTTCTCGAATTTATATCAAAATTTTTAATGATTTTAAAGGAAACAGAGGTTGCATGTAGTACTTCCCCCAATTTTTAATTTTTCTAACTCATATGGCAAATCTTCCTAAAGGATTCATCATAATCATAAGGTCGTCAGTCCTAAGACTGGTTGGACACCTACCTCCACTCTTTCCTATCTTGACCTAAACTTCGCATTTCCCTAAAACTAAAACAACCAATATCCTTAACAATTTGCGAACAGCAATCTAATCTAGGTCTACGTCTACCCCTCTACCCCTCCTAACTCCTGTTTCTGCCTCTAATATGTCTCTGACTAGATCTCCATACCTGAGAAGGTGTCCTACCAACTTACCTCGCCTATTTCTTATTGACTTCCATAGAGTCCTCTGTTCTCCTATTCTTTCTAATACCTCTTCATTTCTAACCTTTTCTATCCACGTTATCTTCATCATTCGCACAACACCACATTTCGAACGCTTCTAACGTTTGCCTTTTCGCCGCGCCCACTGTCCATGTTTCGCACCCGTACAACGCCGCGCTTCAAACATACGTACATCTTTAACAGCCTTTCTCGAATTTCTAAATTAACCGTTCGCGAGCATAGAAGTGACTTCTTTTTAATAAAGGCGACACGACCCTGCGCTATCTTTTGCTTTATATCCCTACTACTCCTTCCGTCCTGACTTATCTGACTTCCTAGATATCTAAAATCAGCCAATTCTTCTAATTTTTCGTCTCCTATCTTTATATTCGCACTTTCCCTACTTTTTCTTCCCTTGCACCAGTATTTTAGTTTTACTTTTATTTATTTCCATACAGTACTGTTTTGTCAGTACCGCATCCATTTTATTTAAAGTTATCTCCTTGTTAGATGCTAATACTGCTATAGCTAAAGGATTAGTTACAAAAAATTCAAAATTATGTTGCTTTTGTTAATCTTTGTGTGGGATAAAAATCAGCTCAGTACCTATAGGTAGAACTACATATGTATTTGTCAAAAATATGTTTTATTTAAAAATATGGCACTCTTTATATTTATAACAAAACACAATTTAATGGGTTACTCTCCGACAGACAACCTGACCGCAGTGATTTCCTAATTATTTCCCCTTTGAAGATACGCAGAATGACGATGCAAATAAATCATGCGTAGTTGAACATGTACGGTATACAAAACACGTCATTCACTAGCATAAAACTAATTTTAATTAGTACTGATTTTTAAAAACGAGAACTCTTTTTATAGTGCTTGCATTATTCCTACAATTCTGAGTACAGTACTTTATTGATGGGAGACGAATACGGCCAAATCTACTTGCTGAAATTTATTAATGTATCAAAAGGCTTATTGAGGAAAAAACACACAGATAAACCTAACGTGTTTTTCTGGCAGGTAAAGATTCTATTAATCTGTAAAAATTCGTACAACCCCTCTTGTATTGTCTGTCAAATATTTAAGGCGATTCAAGAACAAAAAGAATATGTCCTGGTCTCCAAACTAGTGGAAAGTCATGATGCAGAAGTGAGACGGATTTTTTACTGTGATGAAAATTTGTCAGTTGCCAGTTGCAGCCGAGATCCGAAGAAATCTGTTATTATGCAGCACGTATCTTCCAAATGGAAACCATATATTTTCAAAATGAAAAAAGTACGTATAACATACAATAGTGAAGAAGGCATTTTTTACGCACATACTTGTATTTCGTCTTTAGTGATGAGCAAAATTGGTCTTGGTTTTACAATCTTGGTCTTTCGAAAATGCAAAATAAATTTACGAGTTAAACTATTTGGAGCAACTTTAATACAGACATATTTTTTTCTTGGAACAAAACGTTTTTAATATTTGAAATTTTCAGTTTGCTTCATTGTTCCTATGTCTAGATAGCACATGGTTGAAATATAGAGACAAACTTATTTGTTTCCGATATTTTACACTTTCAAGTACCGTGTACTATTTTGTTCGCTGAAAGGTCAATTTGCGTTGAAGGAGGGGTAACTTCTTCAATTTTCATAACTCTTGCTCTCTAAAAATTTCAACATTTAAGACTTTATTGTGCCAGTAGAAGAACTATTAAAAAAAACAAGTATTGGATTAAGTGAGCAAGACAAAGACTTTACACGCAAGACCAACCCGACTGGAAATTAATTAGTGGATTGGATCCGATGCGGATCAGAATTGCCTGAAGATTGATCAGAAATAAATCAGGCTTTCTGATCCGGGTATGACCAAAATAGGATCCATTTGAAAAATCCATGTCGGATCTGTTTCTAAGAAACATGACTGATCCGTTTGTTTGACGAACAATATTGCATACAGAATAAATGAGGTAAAAAATAAAGTTCTGTATTATGATCCAGTTCAGAACTTCGATACAATCTTGATTTAAAGATTGTACCGAAACCGTAATAGAATTTGTAGCATTAGATTGTGATAAGAAATTGGTCAGATGACTGATTAAGGGATAGGATACTCTACTATGATCAATTTCTGATCAGATGGTTGGATCAACAGATAGAGTACTGTGCGCTGATCAATTTCTGATCAGATGGTTGGATCAACAGATAGAGTACTGTGCGCTGATCAATTTCTGATCGGATGACCAGATCAAGGAATGGAATACTGCACTCTGATCAGAAACTGATCCGATCGGTGGATCAACGGATAGAGTACTGTACTCTGATCAGAAACTGATTAGATGCCCGTATTACGGTAAATCTGATCCACATCTGATCATAATCCGGGTTCTCTGAACTAACTTCCAGTCGGAAAGACCAAGACCGAGACTAAATCAGTAAGACCTAGACCAAGACTGAATACGCAAAATCAGGACCAACACCAAAACTGAGACAGACACATCCACTGGCGGATTATCCGTAAGGCAAACTAGGCACATGCCTAGGGCGCAAGGTTAGGAAGGGGCGCGGAAGCATTTAAACAAAATTTGCAAAATATATGGTCACCAAAAGGGCGTTTATGAGGTGCTAGCCTAGGGCGCTCTCGACATTCAGTCCGCCTCTGGATACACCGGGATGGGGAGGGTGTCCTATAGTTTAAGACAGAAGTTCGTAAAAATTTGTGCCATTAATGCTTAATTATTAATGAAACTATAAACTCTATTCAGATAACAATTGGAATATAATCCGACAAAATTAAATTCTTATCACTATTTGTGTTTTTCTTAAATAAAATTAGATATTTTATCAAAATTTTTTGGTAGATGAAGTTCTGTTTTTTAACTGTTTTTGCTAGGTAATGTTCTCCCATTTATTTCGATATAAGTTTAAAAATAATAAACATGATAGGAGTCACTCCATTTCGAGAAACGTCTATTCGATAGACATCATTTTTTCTTATTACTCATATTATTTATAGAACAAGATTTATAGTTGATCTTTTTGTATTTAGATAGTGCTTTTAGGAAAATCATTACCATTTAAAAGAAAACACAAGTACTTCCTCTTGAAAAAGCTCGATTTAAATAGACAATCTTTACTTTTATTTATTAAATATACAATCTTTAGTTTTGTTTATTTATTACGAAAATTTATTGTGTCTTTGATAAAAAATAATTCACAATAAAACGGTCCCATTTTTGGGAGTCGTTTTAAGGCTCTTTTAATAGAAGAAGTGGGTTACTTGACAATCACCTTGACCGCAAACAATGCTAAAATATGCAACCCAACGTACATGCTTCATCTCCACAATGCATAAATTTCCCGGAGCGGGGTCAACCTATTATTTTATCGTTTATTTATATCATTCTTTTTTTTTAATGATACACCACTTAAAACTTTATTTTACATTTAACAAAACTTAAAAATTTGCAAAATATTTAATAGTATTACAACATCTAAAGTGATCTTAGAATGCCTACGATACTTCACAAATCAAAATAATTGATATTTGCTATGCTTTTTTCTTTTTTAATGTGTGGATAACTTTTAGGGTGTAAACTGTTTCATCTTACACAGAACAAAAAGAATTTTGATAACAGGAAGCACAGACGGAATTGTCGCCGTCTGGGATATTTTTAATACTAAAAGACCTACGTCAGTATTCAGCTTCAATGGTGCAATATTGGATTTAGTACTTTTAAACAATTTCAACATGCTTCTAACTTACACTCAGAAAGGGGTAAGTATTCCTTGTTTTACACAACCATACTTTACGCTGCTTTCATTATTATTATTTTTTCCCTCAATAGAATTTCAGTTATGGGATCAGAGCCTGGAGTAAAATTGTATAAGTTTATTATTTTCAATTTTCTGTACAGCCCTATAATCTTATCCAAGCTCAGATTCCGTAACTTTAATATATTCATTTCTAGGAACAAAGCAGTTTCAGTATTTGAAATTTTCAGAGTTTGATTTAGTAGATTTTAACACTAAATATAAAAAAAAGAAACATTATCATTGTTTGTTCCTATGTGTGAATAACACATGGTTGAAACATAGAAACAAACTAATTTTATTCTATATTTTTTACTTCTTTCAAGAACCTTGTACTATTTTGTTAGGTAAAGGGTCAATTTATGCGTTTGAGGAACCAGTTCTCGAATTTTCATAACTTTCACAACTATCAACACTATTTGCTTTTGAAGTTCACATGTATGACTGAAAATTTCAGCATTTAAGACAATTATTGCGTCAATAAATAGAAAAAATTGTGCTTGTGTTTAAAAAAACGTAAGTATCAGATTATATGAGCAAGACGAAGACTTAACACGCAAGACCAAGACCGAATAAGCAAAACTAAGACCAATACCAAGACTGGGACCTAGACTGGGACAGTCTTAGTCTTGGTCTTATCTTGCTTCTCACTAAAGGAAAGGTATGATGTTTTTTGTTGCTTGTGTTACTTATTAGGTACTAGATATGCACCAGATAATGATTTTTCCGGATACCAGATAACCGAGTACCCGATAAAACTACGATTAATGGTTCATGTGTTCGTTCTGGCGAGCTTTCGATTAAATACCACCCTCACTAACGTCCCAAACCACGTTTAAGTCCCTTTCAAAAAGTCGTTGGCGAAATCAACCAAACAAGGGGATTAAAACGAGCCTTTGATATTTATACACTAAAAGTATAATAACTTATCGTTAATTAAACCCTGACATACCAACAAGCGACAGAAATTGTAACAATTCGGCCATACTGATGTACTCTTATTAACGAGAAAGTAAACACAAGAACTATATCGAAATGATAAAAAATTTGGCATATTAGTCAATAAATAATATACATAAGTTAGGACAAACGACCTATCCCAATACAATTTTAATTACCAATTTTCATTAGGCAGGTTCTTTGTTGCCCATACTTATTAAGTTATTATTTCTGGTGTTGGATTTTTCTTTTTTTCTCTGAGAATTCCCCAACACTGCGGGTACCCTGCGTCATAATCCGATACCCCACCGGATCCTGGATATACTGGATCCAAACCGGGCTTATACAAATAAGGCAAAATGTTTGCCGAACAAGTTACATATTACTTCATTGGCACTTTTTTCATGGCGCAACAGCAAAAATGCATATTTTGGTGAACGTGTAGAATGTTTTTTCAACCACGTCTAATATCTGAAAATATCACCTGCTTCTCCATATAGGTATTACGTCGTATTTTTCAATAGATGATGTCGCCCTTTGACGATTGCATATAATAGAACATCCCTATGCCTGATTTTCAATTCGACTGTACTGTATAAATCAAACCTATCATGACCAATTTACAAACATCCGTGTTATGTCCGTATTTAACCATTGGTTCTTTACATTTGTTTTGTACCTGTTATAAGTATGTACTTACCGTCTTGACTCAATTCGTTTCCAATTTGAAACCAAATATCTTTAAACGATTCTCCGTTCTCAGTTCTTTCACACGTGGTAAAATTGATACACAAAATTCTGTTTACTACACTCACTGCGAATATTTTTAGTCTATTGTATTAAATAAATTACTAAATGCAATTAATTAAAAAGCACTCGTTACACGTTACATTGCACGAATCTTCCGAAATAAAAATACTATTTATCTACTATAACATTTTACCGAAAACAGCATCCGTAATCCAGTGGCCAAACGAGGTCCTAATAGGCCCGGAGCCTAAAGGTTATGGTAGGAGTTACGCGGATGACACAACGATCATTAAATACTATCAAGGAATTTTTTTCACCACCAGAGAGACGTAGATAAAATATAAAATTATTCGCTAGGGTCCCTAGATATACAGAGTACCGCCATCGTCTATGAGTACCGCAAACCCGCCATTTTCACTCCAAGGTGACGCGGCAAATTTAAAATGTAGTTATGACACGAAATTGAATGCAATGCTAAAATTTTAAACTATAATAAATAAACTATTTATTTTTAATATGATCTAAAATCCACTATTGATGTTTTGAATTAAAAATTATGTAAAAATGAATATATGCACGATCATGTCGGTGCCTCATTGCCACAGGAATTTATTTAAGAGTTAACGGGCAGAATCCTTTTACATAAAACAATAATTGAGAAAATTAAACATTTATTTTATAATCGAACATATGGCTATAACAAAAACAAAAAAAAATCATTTGACAAGATTGTTAATAGTAACTATGCATATACCATAACTATATAAGGAAAATTTAGAAAAAACCGTTCAACCAAAAACTTTATAGTTTAGTTTGATTTTACGAGTTTTCTAAATACTTTAACGTTATCTGTATTCATTATACCAATAGCTGGAAGAAACATTAAAAAGCATTTTTCTTAAAATATTATTTATTTCTAAAACACAGGTACTGTCACGTGTATTTGCGGTAGATTCTAAGCTTTTATCAAAGTCAGAATTCAATTTTTTTTAGGTATTACCTATGATACTATGATATTATTAACAGTTAAAAATCAACTGTCAAGATCGGCCATTTTCACTCCATATACTTTATGTATAGAAGGACCCTAATTATTCGCAGGTAATTCTGTACTGATCGAAGTAATAACTTTGCTTAATTAGAGAATTAAACGTGATTAATTGGATGCCGTACGTTCTTTACAAGGCCCTTGTACGATTTTTGACCATACACCTGCCTCAAAAGCACGATTTTTCCTCCGCGTGGAAATTGCCACACCAGACGAAAGCTAAGAAGCTATATATATTGCTTTTTCGTCCCTACAATCTGGAAATTCATCGTATTTCCGATAGGGGTGTGGTAAAAAATTATACCTATACGGGCCAGAGAAGTAGGATACCCCCTCCCAGGAGCTTGCCACCAGAGCGCCCGAGCCGAAGGGGAATGCCCTATTTTCTTCCCTTAGTGCGAGCCGGACTATATCGTAGGCATCCAGTTTTAACTATGTCATTTAGCAACAAAACTACATATATCTACCTATCTACTGAAACGTACCTAATTCCGAAGCTTTTGTAGCCTTAATGTCTTTGCTTTCGAACTTTTCCTCGTTAAGAAATAACCCGGCCCATTTTTTTGAATCCAAACGCATAACACTGATACATATGTATTTATTAGAACACATCATTTTATTCGCGACGAACCGAAAAAAACAAGAATACAAGTACTGTCGTACCCGGCGAAGACGAAATGTCACATTATGTATGTTTAGGCTTTATAACCTTTAAAACAAAATATTTTTTTACAATAATATTACTATCAGGAAAATAAGTTGGCAGTACCTATTACCTACTTATTATTACGCTAACGCTTATTATAGCAATTATGAAAAAATAGCAACTTTATTTTGCTATTATCTATTTTGTATTTCCATTTCCTCTTTTTACGTACTTAGGTTTAATTAGTTACAAACAACAATTGGGAATTTATAACAAAACTAGAGGTAAAGTTTGGCGAAAATAATATGTCTTTTTGTTTTTTAACAAACTACTTTCTTAACAATGCCAACTTTAATATCATTTTTCTTTAATGATTAAGAAGTTGGAATTATGGGATACTGATATGGAATGTAGCGTACAAACACTGCGAATAAAGTTCCCAAAAAATAAGAGATGGGGTGATACTGTAAAATATTTTGATAACAATTTGATATTCTTTTATGAAAAAGGCAGGACCGGGCACTTGAGAGATCAATTTACGGACTCCGCATGGGTTCCCAATATGTATTTAGGAACTAAAAATTTAAAAGGTGTAAACACATTCGAAAATTGGAGGTAAGTTGTACAGTTGCGATATACAGTTTTTTTTTTAAAAAGGCACGAATGGAGACCATCACACCTTATAAGTTATTCAATATCCAAACCATTTCCTGTATGATACGAAAGTATCAGACACAACACTTTTAAAATACACTCTTTTCAAAAATTAGGTTATCCTTAAAAGTAACATACGTATCTAATCTTTACTGATTTAAAAAAAACTCTAAATTCACCTGCTAATCTATTAAAAATTAATAATGTTAGTAATGCAATGTAAATATTGCCATTTTTAACATTACCATTAAGACTTAAAAGACTCCTCTTTCGCCTAAACTACTACGAGTGCCCTAAAATGTACCTAAATAACCCTTGTCATAGACTATGTATGTATTTAAAATGTTTCTCATTTTTTTTTAATGTTAATAATAGTGACTGTTTATGGTAAGACATTTTGCATTTTTTTACAGAAATTCGATTACTTGGAATCCGTCTCACATTTATGTCATCAATTCAAATTATGTGGCAAATATACATCTAAAATATCCTGAAAAAGACGATTTTAATTTACCAGTTTTACATCCACCCCCTTTACACAACAGCGTTCTTATTCCTTTGGACTGGAAAATATGTACAAATATTACTACACCACTACATCAACTGACGTAAGTACCTATGTAAATTAGACAAAAAAGAACATAGACTAGTTTTACTACTTGACTTTAAGCATTTAAGTTTCTATCTTTATTAATACGAATTTGCCTATACAAAGTGTGAGCAAATAATAGGTTCATACACCACAGCATAGGGATGATTTGCTTGTCCACCTTTAAAACTGTAATTAAAGGCAAGTTTTATTAAGTTATACCAATTCCATTGTTATCCAGCTCAAATGAAACAGACAAGGAACAAGTTTACGACGTTGAAAAAGTGTTCGATCATTCTGCTTTCACTTTGGATAGACCAAGTGACATTAATTGGCGATTATCTCAACTAGACAACGACGAATTAGTGGTAATTAAAGTTGAAACATATATTAAAATTGCTTAAAAAGTATACTTTTTGACAACTCTGCAAAACCCATTTAATATTGTAAATAACGTGAATTTTTTTTCATTAGATGGCGATATACTACTGCCTGTTCTTTGATATTAAACTTATTTAAATTTTTTTTCAGTCAAATGTACCAGATGAAATTAGATCTGCAGTATTTTTAAATTTAAAATTACAAGACTTGCGAGATATTAGAATCACACCTCAGTTACTGAAGTCTGAAAACGAATATGTTCGAAATACACTTGAAAAAATCTCAACGATGCTAGAGAATGCATCCCGCCGTGACAAAATTCTTTATGAAGATTCAGATACCAGATCCTGTTCAAGAAGTAGCACAAATTCGCTCATTGAATTTTTATGAATATAATACACCGCACAACACAACTATTTTTCAATATTATTGTCTTATATCTTATGTAAGAATTTACTTCTGTAAATGTCTGTGTCCAGAAAACACCACACAACTATGCAACATTCGATAGAGAATCCAAATACAAAATAAAAGTCCTTCGTTATCTTCTGGTACCAACACAGCTTTATACAATTGTAATTAGAACATTAACACACCCGATCAATAGCGCGGTACTAACGCAAGTAGGGGTCACTCTGGTTATCACATTTTTCAATTTTTGTATTAGAGATGCAATCTGATTGATAAATGATTTTTGAACAATCTGCATAATGATTAATTTAAATACATAATTATGATATGTTATTTCTTTTTGATAAAATATACAAATATGAAAATGATTGAAAATAAAAATTTTAAAAACTTAAGTACTTTTATTAACAAGAAATATTTGTTAACATTATATGAATATAATAACAATATAAATATGTTACAAAAGGCAATTTTTTGTTACTTATTTGTTCTGTGTTGTTCTATGTCAAAGAGATTTTCATCATCCTCTTCTTCAAGTTCTAAACGTCGCATTTCAATGTCATTCCGCCTAGTTACAACTCCATATTTTTTTACTTTTACAGATGATTGTCTATTTCGTCTAATCCTACAAACAATGGCAATAAAATAAAATAATTCAAACCTAACAATACATTGTTTTTAAAATATACCTTGTTTTAATAGAACTTTACAAACAGGATTTTCTTAAAAAAAAAAAAAGGGATATCACATGTACATACCTGTATGAGCGAAAAACAAAGTAAATGAGGACTAGGGCACTTAAACTAACAAAAACATAAAATCCTCTCAAAAGAGGTCCGTATTGCATACTATCTTTTTGGAAGTGTGATACCCCTACATTAGGTATACTACTTTCATCTGTATCATTTTGCGGTTGCACATCACTTTGTTTTTTTTGTTGATGTGCAGGTTCTGCAGTATTATTCACAGCTGCATTTACTTTGTGTGGATCGCTTTTAACTTGTGTTGCTGTATGTTTTTCCAATTCAGTGTCATCCTTCAAAAGAATAATGTGCTTTTCTTCTAAAGGAATAGTTCTAGCGTTATTATTCGACTTCTTATTTACGTTTTCTTGGGGAGGTTGAATTTTAATAAATTGTGCACAAACACACTGTAATAAAATTAATGAACAAATAACAAAACACAACCGCATCATTGTTTATTTTCAACGTAACGTTCTGATTATTCCACATCGAATAACCGTTCAAAAATGAGTATACTTGAAGTAAATAACACTTCACTGTTAATATTCTTTTTCGTTATAAAATACATCTTTCCTGGGGCAAACAATAATAAAACTACATTAGAAAAAATTGATGTATCTACCTATGTTAACAATTATACCACATTTTTAATTTTAATAGTTTTTTATCAACAGCCATAGATTAATCAACAGCTTAACCTAGAATTTTGTATATATCGTCTCTCTCTGATCATATACGTCGTCTAGATCTAGATATGATCTAGATGTACATGTCTGTTAGCGCCTGTTACATAGAAAAGATCTGTTAGTTCTTTAGTTCACATCATGTCAACGCCAGCATATCACTTACCATAGATAATAATATTATTGCTAAAAGCTCTGTATGCTATATGCCATTTTTAAATATTTTTTTTCAAAAGTGGAAATCATTTTTAAATAAAAAACAATAATAAGTTTATTATTAATTGTAATGACAATATTCAAAGTAAATATGTAGAACCACAAAAAAAGAAAGCTATGTGAATATCGTCAAACACCCGTTAGAAACGAAGTTTAAATAAACATAGGTAGCTAAATAAGCAACTTCGTTCCAAAAACTAATTTTGACAATACAGCGATATCTATATTTCAAAATCTCAAATTAACATCGTTTCTATTTATTAACGTAACTATAACAATGACAATAGATAGATATGACAAAATAAATGAAAACCCACGAGAAAGATTTATAAATATATACCCTAAGTTTTATGCGAACGCAAACTTAATTTTACCCTAATTCACCATCTATGATAGCCGACTGTACAAGCAGCTGCACTAGGCTAGGTTACTGCTCGATAACTGATACAAGCGAAAGTTATTGACATAGATAATCAAGAAAAACTGAAATGTAGTAAAAATTATCGATTTTTTATACTTATTTTAGCAAATGCAGTCCGTCCCGGGCAGGATTGCGTTTAATTTTAACCACTTTAATATTTTTTGGCACAAAAATTGAAATGGGGCGGTACTAACACTAGTTACGCCACTGGTTGGCATAAGTTTAAAAAACATTTGATACATACTGTATTTATGTCCTTGTGGTGGTCAGTGATGTTGTGTTGACTACTTTGAAAACTACATTTGAAAGCTATATACGTAAATTTTCGGTTAAGGTAAATAATTATGCGTCATTAAATATATTATATTTGTTCATTTATTTCATATTTTTTAGAAATTAGTTTTTAAAAACATGGCATTAAGCTCTCCTTCAAAGTTTATGAATATTGTGCAACGTTTGAAACTTCCGGCGGCTTTTTACCATCCCAAAGTTATCGATCATTATGAAAATCCCAGAAATGTCGGTTCTTTAGATAAATCCGATGAAAATGTTGGTACTGGCTTGGTAGGTGCACCTGCATGTGGGGATGTCATGAAACTTCAAATTAAAGTTGATGAAAATGGCAAAATAGTAGATGCCAAATTTAAAACATTTGGTTGTGGTTCTGCCATTGCCAGCAGCTCATTGGCAACAGAATGGGTTAAAGGTAAAACTGTTGATGAAGCCCTTTCTATTAAAAATACTGACATTGCTAAAGAACTATCACTACCACCAGTAAAACTACATTGCTCGATGTTAGCAGAGGACGCAATCAAAGCTGCACTATCAGATTATCGCATTAAACAGAAGAGCAGAACAAAAAATGAATAATAAGTAACAATAAAGTCTACATTTAGAATTGCGTTAGAATTATGTATATATTTATTGATATTAAAAAATAGTTGTATCAGTATAATAAATATAGCAGATATACATTAGTTAAATTATTTCTATAAAAATGCACAGGGTACATACATATAAATCGATAAAACAATTTTAAAACATGCAAAAATTATAAATTTACAAATTTGTTAATTATCACCACCTATTCCTTTTGCTATGATTGTTGTTCCTTCTGATATTTATACACTTTTTATCTAAAAAGTGAACCATGTCCTAAAAGTGGTTCATGTTATTAACATAATTGATGGTAATTTATAAAAAATATATTATTAAAACACCAACCTCAATATTATATTTATATCCCTGCTCTTGCAAAGAAGTACATAAAGATTCCAGTTGCAATGGTTCATATAACAAAATGCTTTCTTTGATTTGTGGATTGCATGAAATAAAATTAAACCAGGCTATATGTAAAGGTACAGCACAAGTGGCGAGTTTTGACGATGATCGTTTTCTTTCAATGATTATTGTATCTTCCCTAATAAGCAACAAAAATATACAATAAGAAAACAAAATCTGTAAATAATTTATAAATTCATTATAATAATAACTTCAAAAAGAGAAAAATAAAGGTTTATTAAATTGATGAAAGAATCAGATTGATTGAATCAGAATATAGAAAAGTAAAAAGCTACACCTCACTTTTCTGAAATTAAATCTCCAACGATTTCTATACTTTTGGCTTTACAAGTGCTACTGGAATTATTCTCTTTTACTTTCTTTATTATCCCCTCTTCATTTTCAGCAGCATATCCTGTTGGAATTTAAGTTATTTTGAAATACAAATTTGTTTAGTAGCGCACATTTACGAAGCAGTAGTTATAAAAATAAATCTATTATATAAGAAATGTTAACAAAGCAAACATTAAAGCATTAAATTTGCTTTTAATATAATAAATAATAAAGTAGTGTTTAATTCTATCATTTGATAAATAAACATCTAAATGACTTGCCTGAAAATTCATCATTAATGTGTAAAACTGGATGTGTGGATTCATAGATATACTTCAAAAACTCTATGCCTCTTTTCCTTTTCAAAGGCTTCAAACCAAACTTGTCTAGTTCTTTATGTATTTCTGGAGAGTCAAGATCTTCATAATCAATCATTGGAGTAACATTATCTACTTTTATTGCTACTTGTTGTTTAGGTGTTCGAAATGATATAGAACAGTTCTCTTCATTTCGTTTACCAACTTGAAAATTATCTTGCAATATGTCGTTATTAAAATTACTTGAATAAGTTGGTTTAACTTCATTAGAAGAAATAATATTCTCTATTTGTTTTCCTGTTTTTTCCATTAATGTATTTTTACCATGAATTATTTGTACTAAATTATCTCCACACTGAAGTAGTTTTAGATGCTCAGAAATATTATTTTCATTTTTGGTGGTAATTTCTAAACTTTCATAATTACTTGTTAAGAAAGAGTTTGCTGATTTTGCCTTTCCATTCTTTTTAACTGAAATTATTGGTAAATGATCCTCATCTTCACTTGAAATCTCAACTTTTTTCTGACTATTTGAATTACCGCAATTAATTTCAATTGGTGGATAATAGTCGAAATCTTTTTCCACATTTGAATAAACAGAACATTCCGAGTTTGTTTTAAAAGCAATACCTTCTGTTACATCTACATTATCCTCCTCAATATCAAACACAATATTGCAGGGTCCTTCTGAAAATTGAATATTATTTTGAAAACTTTTGTCTATGTTATTCAAATTAATTGAAGTAATTTCACCATCTTTGACATAGTCAGTGTTACACCTGAAGTTCAATCCATCTTCTTGATTTTTTGTTAATTTGTTATATGAATTCCTTTTATCCGTAGTTTTGCTATTTTGTTTGCTAGTTAGTTGTTCTGCATTAACACTTCCTAAACTATCTAGATTAGTTACATCTTTAGATGGTTCATACATTGCTTCCTCAGTAACAATTTGTGTGGAATTTAAATAATTATTCAAACATATAGTACTATCATGGTTTAGAATTTTCATTACATACTCAGTGACATTAAAAGACTTTTCTAACTGACTATCAGAAGGACAAATAGAGTATGCCTGTTCCTCATTTTCATTTCTATGTATAAAATCGATTCTACTGCTATTTTCAGAAGATGTATTACTCTCATGACAGTTATTTTCAATTCTATTAGGAAGAGATAAGCTTTCTTCATCTGATTCAAATAAATCAGGAGATGTACATCTAGTGTCCTGCACATCTACATTTTCCCTCTTTACTTTAGTTTTAGAATCAAAATTATCAATAAATGTAGTTTTATCCTTAGAAAAAACATTAGCTGCTTTGATTACTTCATTATCTTCCATAGGGGGTATAACTTTTCCATCAAAAATAATTTTCTCAGGAGTTGGTGACCTATCCCTTCCTGGTATAGTTCTCCAGTCTCTAAGATAACGATCAACCTTTTCTTTTTTTGGCAAAATGCCAATTTTTTCAACACAGAAATTTGTTAATTCCACATGATTAAACAGTTTGTTTTCTTTGCAGTAAAACTGAGATAACATTTTAGAATACAGATTTCCAGTTTTGAATTGTTTATTTCCATTAATATTTCTGTTTTGTTCTGTAAGTATAGTATCAATTTTACTTGCAATTATTCTATTTCTATCTTCTTCTGTCCGTAGAAATAAAGTGGGTGTTATAAATTTAAACTTTCCATGCTTTTTATGTTCTTGTTGTAAACTAACATCAGACTTTACATTTGAACTTCTTAAATATGATGTTTCAAATCCAAATTTTTTAAGATTGGTCCTCAGTGCCAAAACGTTTTCTTCAGACTGAGTACAATTAATTGAAAGTATTTCATCTTCATCTCCACTAGTCTGAAGAGATTTTGATAAAGTTAATGCAAGATCAGTATGTTCTGAATCAAAGTCATCACACCTTTTAATTGACACGCCATAATTTTTTACTAAATTTGTCTTTTGAATTCGTCTCTTTCTCTTTGAAACAGTTTTGGACTTACCCGAAAGTTTCGATAAGGTTTTCACTTTATTACGTACATGCTTTTTAAAATCATTTTCTTCATTGTAAGAACTATTTATATCCCAGTTAAAGTTTGTATTCTTTATTATATTCTTATATGGAGAATTAAATGAAGTATTCTGATCTTCGTTTTTACTAGAACCTGACTGCAAAAACATTTAGAATGCAGCATTTAATATTTAAGTGCAAATTCAATTAAATTAATAATGACTTTTAAATATTTAACTCATAGGTTATTTAACACCTTAAACTTGGCTCTGCTTGAACTATCCTTAGACATCCTTGAACACTTGAATATGAACACAAAACACAACACAAATTTATTTTTTGCATGGTGTCATTATCTATGACACAGTCCCATTGAAATTTAATAACAGATATTCTAGATAATAGATATACAAAGGGTAATGTAATGTAATTTTATATCTGCAATCTATGAGAGTAGTGTAGAAGTTGAATGGCGGCAATTATGCGCTCCCGACTGACCACTCTGGAATATAGAAATAAATTAATTAAACACGACTTTAATATGATTTTAGTGTTAAACTGGTATTGAACAGTTCACCGGATTAATTATGAATACATGTATATCTGTGTTGGTCGCTGAAACCATTCCTTCCCGTTGTTTTTAGGACTTGAAAAAAATTAGATAAAACCAAACCAAACCCATATCTAAACGATTCTATCGAAGTATTTGTTCCTTTTAAGTTTACACTACAGAAATTTATAGTGATCGCAGTAGTCTATTATTTTGAAAATGGTTTTCACATATGAAGATTGGAAAACCAAACCTACAAAGGAGTCCAATCTTCACATGTAATAACATCAATGCAAATTTGAAAGCAAGTAAAAGTTGTAAGTCTTTCTCACGATCAAACGGTTTCCACATTTTAAAATAACAGTCCAATCGTAAATACATTTAATCAATGACAAAATATTGGCGCTAGCCCTTTTACCTTCAAGCTACAGATATTATTTATTATGATTTATATCAATTTATAAAATACTTATTCAGGATTTAAAACCCATGAATTTAGTACTTTATTTAATCGCGATTGTGGCCTTGGCTTTTCTTCCTGCTTCTCCTTTTCTTCAAGATTCTTTTTCACCTTCTCAATTATCATGTCCATAGAAGGCCCCGAGGAGTTCATTTTAAAAATATCAATCCGCTGACGCATTTCTGGAGAGAAATCAAATTTTCCTTCTGGTATGCTGTATTTTAACTTTCGTGTTTGAGGCCATAACCTTAATAAGACACTTTTTTACTTTTGAAAATTGAATTTAATAATTTAATACATACTCCCATAAATACCAAATTACTCCAGATAAACCAACCAAGCCAAGAAAATAAAAATTTCGAGTTGTGTGCAATGGTGTACCACGAGTTTGTCTCGGTTTTCTAAATCTTTCGTCAATATTTCGATCCATTTAACCTGAAAATGAAATGGGTTATTTTAAAAATGATTTATGATGTTTATTTTGTGAAGCAAATCGCCGTAATTTAAACAAAAAACGCATATCACCTAATTATTAGTTATCAAAATTATTCAAATTTCACACAGTACTCTATTTAAATCATGTTTAGATTATGTAAGCTGCAGAAAACATAGACATAGATGACATCATGATCACATACAATAATCACATAGACAAGGTAAAACAGGAATAAAGCATAGCAGTGAAAAACATAATATGAACAATGGAAACTATTTTTAAAATTACATATTTATTTATATGAACTAAATACAACCCAATTTAAACCATTGACAAGATATGAGCGAGGTCTTTTGCTGACTGTTGAACGGAGCGTATCATATTGATTACCATAATAAATTTTCAAGTTAACGAGTCCCCAAACACAAATGTAATTTTATACAGAATATTATTTCACGAAGAAGCAGATATGTGTAATGATTACACCCTTATTGTTCTACTGATATAAATTGATTTCATTAAATGTATAGAAGGGTGAAAAAGTGAATAGTACCTACAGTTTGTTTAATTCATTATATAAACTTCATTTTTTATATTACTCTACACAAATTTACGTGAATAAATAATAAACAGTTCTAACTGCAACATGCTACATTAAAACAAAACTATTTCCAAAAATTTTGAAACATTGTTTCAAAATCTCCTGGGCGTCAGACAACTCCTTACATGGTTGTAAATTAGAAAGTTTTTCTATTTTTTTAATCATATTAGGAATAACATTATTTGCAATTATGATATCTCCTCCTTGGAGTGCAGAGATATCTTCAATGGTAACTTGCAATTCCACTCCAACTTTCTTTAAGTTGTGGTATAATGGCCAATTATAAATACACGCCAAACATTCGCAGTTAAAATAGTATTGTTTTAATAAGATTGTTTTTCTTTCTTCCTTTGGCATTAAACAATGATGATAACTAAAATTATTGAAACATAAATTTCAGTTTTAAGTCATCAATTTAACTATTCAAATGTTATAATGTATTTAATTTATTGTGTAAATTACTACTTAGTACTAGTGTTTAATTAATCCCAAAATATTAGATCAGAAGTTGTATTTTATTATAACTTACCCATAGTTGTCAAAAAGTTGCTCTCCTTTTACAATAGGCATTAATGCTCTTAAAACAATATCAGAACCATAACAAATACGAACAATATTTGGTGAACAAGCATGGTTTAATAAACTCATAAAACTGTAAACACCACAGCCAATTTCAATTGTATCAGACTTTCCATTGCTTATTTGCAGTTCTGAAATCTCATGAAAATTTGAGGGGGCTGTCTGTATGTGTAATAGCAAAAGTTCTTGAAACATTTTCTCTCCAGTTTCCTTGTCTAGCATATCTTCAAAAAATGAAGTATGACTTTCCATTAGACCACAAATTATAGCTGCAATTACTGCTCTTTCAAATAAGTCATTTGTTTGTCGTTTCTCTGTATTAGCAACTAAATTGTGAACTTCTTCGTAACAAGCAGATTTATAATAGTGATTTTGTTGGGAAATCTTCTTCTGAAAAGAACCAACAAATTTATAATCATTTCTTGCTACAATGCTGATTCTAAGAGCCACCAAAGTTAATTTATTAACATCTAAACGATTAAGTATATGTAATATTGGACACTCGTACTTGTGAAACGATTGCCAGGCATTTTCTTTACAACTCAATGAACAAAACAATGCCAAGTTGCAGTGAGCACAGGGAATGAGGTTCATGTTACGTTTTACACAATTGTGGCAATGTGTATAGTAAAAATCTTGCAGTAAAATTTTTGCATAAGGTTTTTCAACAGCTAAAACTTCTCCAGGTACTATGTCTGTTTCTGCTACTACATACCTTCCATATCTTTCTGAGTAATTTATTGATATCCTTTCAGATGCACAATCTATCATTTCATTTCTAAATTCTAATGGTGGCAGTTCGGAATAAAATTGACTTGATTTCTGCTGTTTCAAAAACAGATCACACTTTTCCTTTCTGAGCAAAATTTTTTGTAAAATATTTTCTGGGTAATTATTCTCTAAAGCAAAACTGATATCCTGAAACAGTTGCAAAAAAACATTTTTAGTGTATCTAATTACTGAATTTAAATTATTAAAAAAGATACAACAAAGCTATACAACAGTACAACATTAGTGGTTTGCTTAAATTTAAACCGACTAATTATTAATTAAGTACGTACTGTTGTTCTGTTATATCATAAAAAATAAAATATTTGCTTAATGAATGTCTACTTACATTTAGACATTCTTTATAGAGACCTTTTTGGAACAGTACAGCAGATCTATTAGCAAAAGCAAGCCCAAGGCATTCACTTTTTTCTTTAGAATGGGAAATACTTTTTGTATACATTTCCCAAGCATCATTGTCTTTTTTAACTTTAAATAATTCATTCCCCCTTTCTCTGAATTTTAATGCTATTTTTTCATCCTTTGTTGATATAGCAAAGTTTTCCACTTTAATTTTATATTTATCTAATAATGCTTTTGCAAATTTAACACGGGCGTAATTTGATGTCAACGTATTGAAATCATGGCAAATAATTTTAATATTGTTGCTTCCCAGTAAAATTTGGCATAAACGTGCATGATGCTCATAAATATCTCCTGGTTGCTCCATGACTTCGTCAATATTATTCCACATAAAACAACTCTACTTCTTACATATTAAATAAAAGAATAAATAGATACCTATAACTAAGTTTCATAAACTATTTCAATGATAATAAACTTCCATCATGTACAAAAATAATATTTATTAGGCTTACTTATTATTAGTACATTAGTAGTATGATTACTACCATAGATAATAGATATACAAAGGGTAATCATAATACATATACATAGGTTAGGTCATACAAAATAGATATACAAAGGGTAAGATCAAATTTTGGACTGAATTTTGATCGTATCTATGATTTTGATATATTCAATTCATAATCTATGAAGGCAGCAAAAAGGATAATTTTTTGATCTGTGGATGGCAATAAACTATTCTACCATTACTTTCTTATTTTGCCGTTTCCGGGAATTCAATTCAGTTTTTAACTGATTTCTCATCAATTATGTTTATTAGTTTAATCTAGTGGTCGATTGATGGAATGAACAATAATTGTTAAGGAGTTTATCACAAAAAACAACGTTATTTAATTTTTTTCATTTTGAGATAAGTTGAGCAAAATTGTTTTTTCATAAATGTTCTGAGCTATTTTATTCGGACAAGCATATGAATAATTATTAAGTATCTGAAATTCTTACTTCATATAAATTAAGGATGATAATTTGCTGATTAGCAAAACATATCTAGGCCCGATTGGACCTCGCGAGGCCAAAGGGCGAGTAACGAAATTGTGAACTAGACCAGCACACATTAGGGTAAAGATTGGCAAAGATTCCCATATTATCTTATTTGTTCAGTTTATTTTCGTTCTATACATAATAAAATTTATAAATACACTAAATAAATTAGATTTACCATAAGCATGACTATCAGCAACAAGATAGCAAGTCCACGTGTATTAAAAAATACGTATAGGCTCGTCTGTGTCACCGCTACTGTAGCCGCAGCGATTTAACTTGTAGTTGTAGTTCGATCGTGTGTAAACCCTCATTAGTGTTTTCATTTTTACTCACAATATTTTACCTGCTAATAATTGTTAAATTTATATTGTTAGTTAAGATATCAAAATGCTTCCCAGTTGTGCGAGAAATATTAACAAACCAACAATAAGTTGTAAAGTAAGTATAAGATACAAGGTGTAGTAGTGACCCTTTAAAAGCAAGGTTAAATAGAGGTCCGTAACATCAGAAGTAATTTTATTAATATGAGGAGATTTTTAAATGTAATAAACACATATTTATTTTTAAATTTGTATTTATTATTTTTTTTACTCTACAGAAGGTGTTACAGCTTATCAATGGCACCAAAAATAATTATGCAACAGAAGTAAAGTGTGAAACAAAGGTAAATAGTTAATATTTGATAATTACACTATTTAAAACATGAATTTTTAGCCATATAAACTACATAAACTAGATACTCCTCCAAGTGCATCTACTACATTGAGTAGAGAAGATGCCTTAAAATATTATAGAGAAATGCAGGTAGTTCGTAGAATGGAAGCTTCTGCCAACAATCTTTACAAAACAAAACTCATTCGTGGTTTCTGTCATTTATATTCAGGCCAGGTAATTAATTAATCGTTTTCATTAAATAAAAAAACAAATAAATTATTCTCATATGATAACAGATTTTTAAAATATAATTTATTTTACAGGAAGCTGTAGCTGTAGGAATTAAGGCAGCTCTTAGATCCCATGATGCAGTAATAACTGCTTATCGTGATCATGGTTGGGCTTATCTTATGGGAGCAAGTGTTGTTGAAGTTCTTACTGAATTAACTGGAAGAAAAAGTGGTTGTGCAAGAGGCAAAGGAGGTTCAATGCATATGTATACAGACAACTTTTATGGAGGCAATGGTATTGTTGGAGCACAGGTGAATGATAGTTATTCACACAAAAAGAAAGAAATACTGCTCTTTGAAAATACCTAAATTCTTGAGGAATTTGAAAGTATTAAATGAAATAAAATATAATACGAATTAAGTATTTGAAATTTAAAGGATCACCAAAAATATATATACATAGGGCTAGTGAACTAAGCATGTTGAAAATAAAACTAATATTAAGTTGAAGAAAGAACATTTAAATTATAAACACAATTTGACATAAGTTTTATCTGGAGATACTCTTAGACTAGTTTTGCAGACTTTTAAACTTAATTTTATCTGTATTTTATAAATATGTATAGGTACCACTTGGGGCTGGCATAGCGTTTGCTTTAAAATATAAAGGGACAGATGGAGTATGTTTTGCACTGTATGGTGATGGTGCTGCCAATCAAGGCCAAGTGTTTGAAACTTACAATATGGCTAAATTATGGAACTTGCCTTGTATATTTGTGTGTGAAAATAATGGTTATGGTATGATATTTATTACATTGCTTTTTATTCCCAGACTACAGAATTTTATCTTACTTATAGGTATGGGAACGTCTGCTCAGAGAGCTGCTGCTAACACTGCCTTTTATACCCGAGGTGACTATGTACCTGGCTTGTGGGTAGATGGTATGGATGTAGTGACAGTACGAGAAGCGGCTAGATACGCAATTGATTATTGCAAAAGTGGCAAGGGACCTCTTGTCATAGAAGCTGCGACATACAGGTGTGCAGCTGTTTCTATTCATATCAATAAAATACTAATACTTTTTAGAAAATAGAAAGACGTGAAATACTGTACCGGCCTATGTTGCATACTAGCTGGTTATTGATGTGTGCTATGTATAATATAGAAATTAACTAATATTTCAAATAGGTACATATCTTAAAACTAATACACAATCGTTTTAACAAAACTCTCAGTAATAGTTTGTAATTAAAATCAGTTTATTTATTTATTTCTTTTAATGCTAAAAAAATTCTATAAGACTTATCATATGTGGACTAAGTAACGTGTTTTGTAGATATTTTGGTCATTCTATGTCTGATCCGGGAACAAGTTATAGAACAAGAGAAGAAATTCAAGAGGTAAGACAGAAAAGGGACCCAATTACTCATTTTCAGGAATTGACAACGAACGCAGGTCTTCTTTCCGAGAACGAAATAAAAGTAAATATAAAATGAAATTGAAATAGGACTTTGCGACGTTAATACTAATTCTATTGTAGGAAATTAACGCTGACGTAAAGAAAGAAGTTGATGAAGCCACCGAAATTTCTAAGACGGATTCGTCTATAGGATTAGACGAATTAGCTACTGATATTTATGCAAATAATTTAGAACCACAAATACGAAACACGACGCCTTTTAATCCATTAACGCATAATCGGTTAGGAAAAGCAGTTAATTTGGAATAGATGGTAAACTCAATACGTTTATTATCATTTTCAACAATTTATTTGTTATCGTTTATTTAGACTTGCATCGGCTTGTTTCGTAATTACGCATTTTTAGAACTTTGTGAATATTGAATGTAAATAGAAAATTGTTTTGTTTTCATAAATAAAACTTTTACCAATTGTTTTTGTTTCAAATGTATGTACTTGTTAATTTTCCCAGTCATAGGGGAGTTAATGCAATGGGCCCGAAAAACAAAATCGTTATCGAAATTTGAAAATCACAACAGCATTGCAACATGATTTGGAGATGTGTGTGTGTGTCAATTTGATAGTTATCTTCATATACACTGCTAAATTGTCACCCTCGTTCTCCTAAACCTAACGTTATGTAAAAATTATTTGAAAATAAATTGGCTATAAATCGATCTGAAATCGTTTGAAATGCTTATCGAGGAAATACGAAAAAAGAATAAATTTTCAAACCCCTCTTGTGAAATAAACTTATAATAGTGATTTACCAGTTGATTTTCACTATAAGAATATTTATTGTCACAGAAGAGTGCATTAAAAAATTAAATTTATTTTTTCTTTTCCTTCGAAAAATAAGCATTCGCAAATATTTTGTACTGCATATTCAGAATTCACAAACGGTTCCCGATCGATTGAGTTCCTAGAATCTATTTTGCAATTAATTTAGGAAAATGTTAGCTAATAGTAAGTTTTTAATTAATAAATTTAATCCAGTCAGAAAAAGGTATCAATCATCAATCAAACATTATATACAATTTTATTTATACATTTATAAGATTGCTAATAAGTCTATAAATGCGTTATTCTCCCAGGACTGAGCCTAATGCACTCTGTCGTTATATTTAAAAACTAAGGGATGTTCCAATTAAACATCAGTACACTACGGCAATATGCGATGTGGCGATGAGGCCATAAATTATTGAGGTGCATTCTGTAGCTCTGCATTGGTGAATCATAGATAATAACATGATCATAGTAATGCCATTGAAAAATTTTGTATTATTTGTAATAATAAAATTACTAATAATTAATATAAAAATAAACCCCGCTTACCATAATAGTTCAATCTTCAGGTACAAATGGCACGCAATCAATTGACGTCAATTAAATTATCATATCTTCAGTAGTTTTTGAATAAATTGACATATAATTTCCACCCGCATTCCTTTTTTCTAAGAGAACTAATACAAGCACAATTATGATACTTCCATATTTAGAACCCGCAAACGACGCACAATTTATTGGTGAAGTGTAATTGGAGGATTATTTATATCGGGTGCTAAATTCACACGACTGAATTCTGCCTATGCGTTGTGAATATCACAAATAAGTCCAGCTGTCTATGGTGAATACCAAAAAATTTGACGTTTAGGGTAAAGTATCTATGAGATAAAGTATGGTTATTTCTTACCATTCGTACTGAATAAACCACAATAAGCATACGTGTAAGTTCACTTAGTTGTTTCGGCTTTTAATTGCTGCATTATGGCGAGATTAGATTCAGTAGTATCAAAGTTTTATAAAGAGTATGTTACAAAAACTCCGAAAAAATTGAAAATAATAGATGCTTACTTGTTTTACATCCTCTTAACTGGAATTATTCAATTTGTTTATTGCTTATTGGTAGGAACGTTTCCGTTCAATTCTTTCCTTAGCGGATTTATTTCAAGTGTTAGTTCTTTTATACTTGCAGGTGAGTATCATTCGTAAAATTAAATTCATTTGTATAGAATTGTTATTACAGTTTGTTTACGTCTCCAAGTTAATCCAGAAAACAAAAATGAATTTTATGGAATCAGCCCTGAAAGAGGTTTTGCAGATTTCTTATTTGCACACATTGTATTACATCTTGTTGTAATGAATTTTATAGGTTAAGAAAATAATCATTGTTAACATTAACACTTCAATAAAAATTGTAATACCTGATGTAAATAAATCCTTAAGTGAAGAAACTTTGAAAAATTACAGTTTATTAGTGTGCTTTTACAATTCCAAAGCCCAAATAAAAATAAAATATCTACACACCTGCTCTGCAGAATAACTTAACTTCATTCTGATTATAATGAACCTTTTTTTCAACAATGCTTTAATTTACAAAATATATTACCTTAAAAATATTTCATTGTTAAAATTTATGATTAAAAATGTACATTAGTTCACCATTAATAAATTTTGTATTATTAAAAGCTTAGCTAAGGTCCTGAGCCTATTACATGAAGTCATCATAGTCAACATAGTCATCAACATAAGCTGAGTACTGATTGAGCTGAAATTAATACAGAAAAGTCAAAAGTTACAATAACGAGAATATTTAAAGTTTTTGAAAATTATTGAAACCCATTTTACTTTTTTTTTAATGCAAAACTATACACTTACATTGTTATCATCAACTCGAAGTTTGGCTTTGACTTTGCTTTTCTTCTTTATTTTGTCTCCTTTTTCAATTTTCTGTTTCTCCAGGTATAAGTTATCTATTGTTGTTTTTATTTTTTTCAAGTCGTTAGATGTAACTGCAAATAATTACAAAAGAATCGAATTATGAAAAAGTAATTTACCATATAACTTACGGGTTGCACAAATATTTCTTATTATATTTTCAGCAAATCCTGGAAACTCCTCATTTTTACTAAAAGGTTGTAGTTTTTTAGAGAGAGCTTCAGATAATTCATCAAATTCTTCTTTGTTATTTGGAAACATACTGTCTATTGAACCTGAGTTTTTATCACTATCTCCAAATGTAGTTTCTAAAGCAACAATTAGATCAGATTCCTTTTGACGACGTAACCTTTCTTCTGGCGAAATTTCCTCTTCTTCTTCCTGCATCTGTCTTGCTCTCTTTTCTATTTCTTCTTTTCTTAGTCTCTAATTCAGAGTAATTAAAACACTTACAAAGATTTTTTTTTAAATATATAATAGTATAACAATAGTTTACCTCTTTTTCTGCTACTATATCTTGTAGTTTTTTCTTTTTTAGTTTTGGTTTTTCTTCCACCTTTGCAGGTTCTTCTTCCTTTTTTTCTTTTTCTTCATCTTCATCCTCCCAATTGTCCTGAAATAACAACTTATAGAAATCTATATGGGCATTCAATCACGTAGTTCAGTTAGGATAGATAAAATAACATATTTATACATTTTTGATATTATTTAGCTGTACCTATCTGCTGTTACAAAGTATTCATAATTGAAATATCATAACTATATTATGTTAACTTTCTAAAAATATATTCTTAAATATGACAAAATTGATACAAATACACATTTCTTCAAAATAAGGAATAACTTACTTTCACATCGTCATCTTCATCTTCACCTTCCCATTTGTTAGCTGATGGTACAGCTGGTACTGTCAATTGGGGCTCAAAATTGTCATCATCTAAAAATAAGTAAGTTTGAAAATGGAAACAAATGATTGCAGTGATTCTACACATACCCCAATCTGTCATTTTGTAGTAAATTCAGATCAAAATTACACGACGGTATTAGTTAAACTATATCTTCACGTGTTTCTTCCAATTGCCTTGAAAATCACCACAAGATGCCACTAATTGCTAATTATACTGGTGTCGTTCTAGACCATATACTTCTAGACTATTCTATAAGTATCGTAAATACACAAATATCATTGACAAATACTCAAGTCTATCCTTTTTGCAAAAATAATATTTGTTCGCACAATATTTTCAAAATTTTGATACTTTAACGCAAGAATATTAATACTTAACATATCCATCGCACTTGACACTTAGAGGGTAACCAGGATAATAGTGGGGGGCTATGGTGGGGAGTTTAATTAAAATCAAATATTATTATTCCTAGAACATGAGGCGTGCTCAAATAACTGCAAAATGTTTTATAAATATTTATAGGGAGTTTTTGAAATGTAACTGTTTTACTGTTTGTTTTTCCTTGATTGAAAAACATTGCTAAATTTAAAGAGTGTTATCGTTTGACACATCAGTAGAAAAATATGTTACTTAAAAGAGGCAGTACTAATAATTCATTGGTCAGTTTAGCAAATTGTTTATGGGAATACGTAGTTTTATAATACTGCAAATAATTTTGAAATATTGTGAAATTAAGCGACTTTTTCAACATATTTTACTTCGATTTTATTTAAAGAGTGCATTTTATGTAGTTTCGTTTAGTAGTTTAGTAAACGGTTAGTTGATAGAATTCAACCAAAACTACACAACGGCAACGCGACGTTAAAGGGTTGCAGATACGGCAAGCGGCAATCGACATCGAGGTTACGAAGTGGAATTTGCCATTATTTATCTGTGTGCCATTACGAAGTTGCAAATGGTTGCGTGCGAAGAATAAAGTTGCACCCATTATACTAAATGGAGAGGCAAGTGAATTACAATTTATTTTGTGTGTTTAGTAAGAGGAGGTTTTAGTAAAAAAAAAAACAGAACATGGCTATTGGTGGAACAAGAGTCGTTCAAATTACTAATATCGCCCCTCAAGCGACGAAAGACCAAATGCAAACATTATTTGGATATTTAGGAAAAATTGAAGATATTAGGCTATATCCAACAATTAGAGATGTTTCTTGTCCTGTTCAGTCTAGAATTTGTTACGTAAAATTTGTTGATACCAGTACTGTGGGTATTGCACAGCACATGACAAATACTGTTTTTATTGATAGAGCATTAATTGTAATTCCTGTACAAAATGGTGAAATTCCAGATGAATATTATGCTTTGGAGATGACTAAAAATGGGACTATTGTACCAGGTTTGTGTCCATCTGAACCTAATTTACCACCAAATGTTGTGAATAATGCTCAGATTTATGAAGGACAGCAGGTTATTATTACATATGATCCAAAACTTGAATCAAATGGGTTACCTCCCTATCCTCCTCTTCCTGCCAATTATGATAGTAGAAAAATTGAAGAAACAAGACGTACTGTACTGGTTCAAAGTTTAGATTCTTCCATTTCATCAGAAGACATTATTAACTTCTTTTCTTCTGTTGCTGAAGTAAAATACATGAGATATTGTTCTCGAACATCTGACGGTAGTACAAATATGCTGGTAGAACTATGTGAACAACCACAAGTTGTGGAAGCATTGAAACTTAGTGGGAAGGAGTTGAAAGGAAAAGTTATTAAAATTGTACATGCCACACAATCAATAATTAAACCTCAAGCAAAAAGTAATGAAGCAGCTCAAAAAGAAATAGAAGAAGCGATGTCAAGAGTCAAGGAAGCCCAAAATTTAATTTCAGCAACTATTGATCCTGTTATTGGTATGTTGTCCAAAGATAAGCGTAGTTCAAGAAGATCTAGGTCTCGGTCACGAGGCCGCTATAGAAGATCTTCAAGATCAAGATCTCGTTCAAGGAGACGGTCAAGATCACGTCGTCGTTCTCGGTCACGGTCTCGAGATCGCAGACATCGTTCAAAATCACGGTCTCGAAGAAGATCACGATCACGTTCTCGACGTCGATCTCGTTCTAGAAGGCGTTCAAGATCTAGGCGGTCTCGATCACATCGTTCTCGATCTAGAAGATCTAAATCACGCAAATCCCGATCAAAATCAAGGACCAGGAGACGTCGATCTAGAGACAGAATTCGTAGATCTCGTGATCGTTCTAGAGATCGTGATAAGCCGGAAGTACCAAAAGATAGGGAACGATCACGGGACAAAGAAAATGCAAAATCAAAAGAGAAAGAAAGATCACGCGAGTCGCGTGAAAAACGAAGCGATAAAGAGAACAGCACTGATGTGGAGGATAAAAGGTCATTAAAAAGACGATCACGATCACGTTCAAAAAGATCTAAATCACGTGAAAGAAAAAGAAGTAAATCAAAGGAAAGAAGAAGATCGCGATCAAGAGGAAGTAGACGAAGATCTCCAACACCGAAAAGTTCGAAGAAACGAAGTCGATCTAGAAGTCGAGAGAAAAGAGAAAAAAAAGAAAAAAGGGAATCCAAAAGAGAACGTTCTAGATCCAGATCGAAATTTTCCAGAAATTACGATGAAGAAGAGAAGGGCTACGATGAGAAAAATCGAAAACGTTCATCAGAAGAAGCTCGAGAGTCTTCTGATAACCCAACTGAAAAAGAATCATCTGAAAAATCTGACAACATGGACATCTCAAATTCTCCTTGATTTTATTTACTTACGTGACTAATTAAATATGTAATTGTAGTATGTAAAATATGAAATAAGCGTTACAAAAGTAACATTGTAACAGTTATAGAGTGAAATGCAATTGATGTTTAATTAAAAAAGTCATTTTTTTATTACTTTAATACAAAATTGATAAAATTTAATTTTTAATTATAGTAAGTACTGTAGCATATACCTATAAAAATAAAAACTGAAGAACTACTCAACAATTTCATTTAAATTAAGTAATACTCTGTAATTGATAAAGCAATCCTTTTTGTAATCTTTATTTTGAAGTAATTTTATAAAATGTGTACTGTAAATCTTTAACGTAAACGTTTAACAAAATTATTTACAGATTTAATGTACAAAATAACACTAAGCATTCTGCTTATTTTTATTAAAATTGTTGTATTTCATCTTTTTTCTGTACTTTTTAGGATTAATTCCGTATGCGACTAATCTAGCATTGGAAATCCCATCTTGTTGCATTTCATAATCTTGCTTATTTTTGTTGTAGCTACTGAGCTTTGTTTTCTTGTGGTGATTTTGTCGTATATTACTCTTATAACTTTCTTGTATATTTTCACTTTTCATAAGTATTTCAGTTTCATTCATAGAATCCAGATGTGGTTTTTGTTTTTTTTTCTTTGTGCTAGTAGAATTTCCAGAACTTAGTTCTAAATTTTTGTCGTTTAGTTCATTGTTTTCTGTCAAGGATGTATTTTCTCTTAGTTTTGTACTAGCAGATGTAGACTTTTTTTTACGCTTCTTTTTTTCAGCAGGTGCAGGTTTTTGTATTTTTTTTTCCGTGTGGTTTTCGTTACTAACTTCTTCATGTTTCCTTTTTCTTAGAAGCAAATTACCGGTCTCGTTGGTATCTTCAGTTTTTTCGTCATTTTTTGTATACAAACTTGGCAATATTTTTCTTTTAAGATTTTCATCTTTTGCTTTTCTTTCATACACGATTTTGTCATATTTTTCTACGTGTTCTGGACGATACTGCACGGTTTTTTTTAATGAACACCAGCGATTTAACTCTTTGTCGTTTGCTAAGAGAATCTATAATAAAAACAAGGCTACATAATTTATGTTTATTTTGGAGAATGTTAGGAATTGCATTTATCCAAAGTAAGTAATTAATGGATTTACTCTATTATAATTTATCTTTTTTCTTATCTAATACAACAGTAGAGATAAACGAAACAAATATTAATTAAATACGCATATCAGTCATAGACTAGCAATATTAGAAGAAATGTTTGTGCTCCTTTCTTCCCCCAAAAACACATATATAGGAGTTAATCGTAAGTGAAGTAAAAGAGATTGAAGTGCGCTTTGTTTTGTAAATTAAAGATAAACGTGAAACTATCCTGTTAATTATCTTATCATGCAGGAAGTTTCAAAACAACGAAACTGAAATTAATTATCAAGGTTGCAGTTTGACCAGAAACTCCCTGAGGAACTGCTGAATTATTCGTTTGTACTCCGTTCAGTTGAAAAACATAAGTGCAATACGTATTTTTATAATAGAATAGTGCGCAAAGATTTATCAAGCACATAAAGATAAGAATAATGGTATTAGTGACGCTGCATGTTTACAATTTTTGATCTACCCAGGTGAAACTGAATACTTTTACACCCTATTGTTAATAATACCAATAAGCAATAATAACCTTAGAAGATACATTGCTATCGACACAGTTAGTTATTTATCAATATCTACAGAAGAAAATGAACAAGTTACTAACCACGTTTTTAATTTGTTTGTGTTTGTGTACCATAATAAAGGGGCAAGTTTGTGAAAAAGGAAGGCAATCCTATTTGTTTAAAACGTTCGTAATGTCGTGTAAAAACATTCGTGATCAGTTTCCGAATACGACATCCGTTGCATCGTCAATTTCCTGTGAAAATTGCGACATACCAACATTTACAGAAGATGTAGTTGTAACTTTCAATGGGGGTATATTCGACGTGAGTAATAGCCACATCAAGAACATAACTGAAAACGCATTCAAAAATTTTGGAAATGCCGTTCAAAAGTTGATATTTGCAAACAATCAAATTTCATACATAGCTCCACATGTTTTTGATAAGTTTAATAATTTGGAAGACTTGAATTTACATAATAATAGTTTAAGTAACGTTCTTCCAGGGGTGTTTGAAAATTTAACGATCGGCGTGTTTGATTTGTCCAATAATAACATAAGTGATGTAACTAATTTTATTAGGAAAATTAAAGTTCGAAAACTGGATTTATCCAACAATAAATTAACACAAATTTCTATTAATATGTTCAATGATACCTCTTTTTGGGTTGCAAGTCCATATAGAGCGATATTTCATGAACTCAACATAGGAAATAATCAGATTGAATCAATTCAGCCTGGTAGCTTTAAATTTGGTGATGGTAATTCTTTGAGGGTTTTGTATTTACAAAACAATAAAATTACCGTCATTTTAAATAATACATTTTCCTTGCAAAATGAACTGAAAAATTTGATACTTAACTCAAATCAGATCAATTCATTAGAAACAGACAGTTTCAATAATTTACCAAAATTAATAATGTTGGATTTGGCTAAGAACAAACTTGCTACTCTTCCTTTTGGCGTTTTTTCTAAGTTGGGGAATTTAGAAACCCTGAATCTAGAATCTAACCAATTAAGCAAGTTGGATCCTTCTCTATTTTCTGGACTAGTACGTTTGAATAGACTCCATCTTGCTCACAATAAACTGACTCAATTTAGTCCCACCACCATCTTTCCTCTAGGGAAATTAACGTATTTAGATGTAAGTGACAATAGGCTGAGAGAACTCGATTTAAAGGCTATCTACTCACATCAAACTCGTCTTAGCACACTAATAATAAACGATAATTTTTGGTCATGTTCCAAATTAGTTGCAATGTATAAAGTTATGAACGCAAAGTGGGGTGGTTTTCATGATCCAGCTAAGCATTTTGACGTTCCAAACTTGCACGGTATTGCTTGCTCTCGTGTTGAATTGGATTATGATGAAAATTTGACATTTGCCGAGTTTATGAACATAATTTCTCAGGATCGCGTGTTTGAAGACATTTATGACTCGAGAATTAATGGCGATGCTGAAACAACCCAAGTATCTCTCGATCATCTTTACATTCAAATAACCGGAATGTTTTGGATGTTCCTTTCAATCACTATCATGTGTACAGTATTCTTTGTTCATTTTGTTATTGTAACTGTTAAATCTAACAAAATAATTGCTAACAAGTTGAACTTTAGTTATTCACGAGCTCAAGATGAAAATGTTCAACTCATGTAAATAGAGGATAATTTAAATACTAAGCATTTTGAACTAATTTAGTTTTATGTAAATGTTAAATAATGGAAGCTGTAATTTTTAAAATAAAGTTTTTTTTTTTCGTATTCCATTCTTTTAAAAAATAGTGAATAGTTTTAAAAGCATTCCATGTTTGAAATTTAGTAATGAAAACAAATTTATTTTTAAGTAAAAAATATNTATTTAAATAAAAAATAAATGTTTTATATTGAACACCTTTATAGTGTTAAATTATATTTGTAAAATTTAATCACTGTACTGCTACAGTGCACACTAAACCTTGACTTGCACCCGTTCTTTGTGTTAAGCTTTGAAATATTGGTGAGATTCGCAACTTAGTCAATTTATCGAGCTTTTGGTTTATTCTATTAACTTTTTTCCAAAAGACTTTCGAATTTTTGGTCTTGTTTAGTTTAGAAAGGCAGCTGATAAGAGATTACATTTAACGAACCAAATGCACACATTATCATACACTATGATTAAGTGTTAATTGCTGACTAACTTAGAAAAAAACATATCTTTGAATTACAAAATAGAATAAGCCAAAAGTTAAATAAGTTAATTAAAAATATTTTCTTTACCAAATTAAAATATGAAAATGCACTTACTTCTTCAACTGTAAGTCCAAAATTATTGGGTACGACTTCTCTGTATTTAAACCGGCAAGGAAGATTATCAATTATGTCTTCGCAATCCAATTTATAATACTCGTCCAAATATTGAGCAAAAGTTTTATCACTTGGATCAAAAACTGGCTTCGGCTGACTAACTACCTTTGCAAATTTTGACTTACGTTTTCGTTTCCTTTTTAGTTTAGTATTTTCAATAAGGTTTCGTTGATTCCCTTCATTAGAATTGTAATCGCAATCCATCTGCAAATTATAGAAATATTAATTCAGTTTTAAACGTAAAATGAAAATAAAAAGCATACAATGAAATCATCGTCTTCACAATGCGGCTCATGACCTTCATCTTCAGCGTCATCACCTTGCCATCGGTCCCAGTTTTCTATTTCTAAAAGGCAAATTGAGGAAAATTGATTATATTTTAAATGATTTTTTAATTATGAGTCGGGATTAAACCGTCATATGTAAACCATGTACATGAAATTTGATTTTAATCAAAAATGCTAAGTAGTAAATAAACATGTATCGGAAAATGCAGAGCGCTACAGCATCTTAAACCATTTAAGGTAAATGTAGAGCAAAAATTCAACTGAAGCAAGTGGTTGCTTCAAAATTATTGCTCAGAAACGTACCTACGAGAACTCTGTGGAACTAATTTTAATCTCATAATTTAATATTATTATTTATATTTTCAAAATATGCTATTCATTCATGATATGCATAACGGCTATCTGCTTTCAAAGTATTGTTCACATTGCTCTAACAATACTAATTGTAAAGACCATTTTCAGATGCTGCTGGAAAGGCATTTTAACAAAGTGTTAGGTACAAGTGAAGTAAAAGTTACGACACCCTGTTTGAAGTGACCTTCAGATATTGTAATGGCCAAAGTAATCAAAGATCAAACCAAAGGAAATACACGACCACGACAACAGCCAATTTGTTCAGCGAAGGGGTAGTAAATTGCACATCCTCCAAGTGCTGTAAATTAATTTTTGTGTTCTTCTATAATGTTGAAAGGGTGATGTAGTGTTCTTAGAAACCATTTACAGATGCATGTTTATGTGATTTTTTTCCTTAGCATCATATTTAATATGCATGGTTTACATAGGTATGTCGGTTTAATCCCGTCTCGCCATGTATATAATATATAAAAATGATTTAATTAGAAATATCAACTTTTCAAAGCATTACATTTAAGTTTATACTTATATTACTATAAATAACTGGTAGCACAGAAAAATAAAAATAAATTTTACCAAGTTCCNACAGTACAATGTTTAATAGTAATCTAATAAAGTGTTATTTTTCATGTTATTTCTGTAGAACGTGAAATAGAAAGACAAGATCCTTGCTTAAAATACATTAAACCCGATTTCATTATTTCCCGTTATTTCTTTAAGCATTTCGATCTTTTCTTCTATTTCTCTCTTTTTAAGTGCCTTTAACTGTTTGATTTCCTCCATTTTTTGCATCTTTTCCTTCTTCTTTCTTTCTTTAACTTCCTCCCTTTTCATTTTCCGTTTGTCATCTTTTCTTCTTAAAGAACTTTCCATAGTTCGTGGATAACGTTTCAACTGTAGATATTTTAGATTCATTAAATTGGTACTAAAAGAACAAATAATAAACAATTTACAAATTCCTGGTCAGGTTCTTCAAAACGAAAATTATATTTGTTTTCAAATTCTTCTTGTTCAGTTATTGCATTTTCATCTTCTGATAAACCTTCATCTGAATCATGTATTATTTCGTCATATGTAGGAATGTAACCATTTTCTTCGTCATCATTAAATCTGAAGTATGCTTACTTTAAACAAAAGTGCATCCATTAGCAAAAAAGTTAGATACCTGTTTTTTAAAATGTAATCTCGTAAAAATTTTTCTTTTTCATCAAGATTAGGATCATTCCAAAAATCTTTTAATGGTTGTAGTTGATTTTCAATACTTTTATCCTCTAAATGCTGTTTTTGACCAGCAAGCCATAATTTATAATCCTCTTCTTCTTTAGTTTTCTCTTCTTCTGTTTTTAATCTCTGTTTAAATAAACCACCCCAGTTATTATCTTTATCACTTCCAGGGATGTTTTCTAAAGCATCTTTTAACTCATTTTTTATCTGTTCTTGTTCTTCACAAATAGTCAAAGATCTGTAATCATCAAAATTTTATTTAAAATAGTTGCAGAAGTTAATAATAGAAAAAAAAATATTCTCTTTGAGTACTGGTTTGCACTCCCAATTAAACGCTCTACTTGCGATATTTATTTAATTAATGATGTAGATAATTTTAAACCTCTCTTACAATACATTTGTTTTGTCATCATCTTCATCACTTAACTGCCCTGAGTTCTCCATTATTAATTTCCTTTCGTAGTCTTTAAGATACATTGGCTGTTTTCCTTTTTCCTTGGATGACCTCAATGTTGTTTCCACATTTTCAAAGAATTTAGTGTTCTCATCATAAACAGATGGATCCTTAGTTTTTAAGCAAGACAGTGCTTTTAAAAATTCAATTTCAAATTCATTGTTAACTTCGATATCTTCTTCTTCAGATGAACTGGTTGATTCATAATCACTCACTGCCTCTTCACCGTACTTCGTTTTCACTAAAATTTTATATATTTAAAGCTAATGAAAATTTAAAAAATGGTTATAAACATGCATTTATGTAGTTCTTCTTTTTTACGCCATTTGTTATAGTTTTTAGCGTATTCATTATTTGTTTGAAGTGAAACTTTCCCATCACCATTTTCATCAAATAAACCAAGCATTTTCTTGTGACTTCAATTGTATAAGCATAGACTATGTATAAGTTCTTTACAAGTACATTACAACAACCATAATATCTGCATAACAGCCAAACCAAAAATGTCGAATGACATAGGCAATAGGTCCAATGATGTCCATTATTGATGTTGATCATAGTACTATAGACAACATGTCGATAAAATAAGGTTAACTACCATAGATAACTACCACGGAAGTGTTTCCTATATAGCTAGATCGTGTTTATAAAATTTTCAAAAGAATGATCCGACCATTTGTAGATTCATAAAATATGTTTATTTATTCATTCTATTTTATTTTAGCTATTAATCGACAAGAGTTCTGCTACTAAAATAAATAAATAATTAAGGTACAAGTTAAGGGTAAGAAAAGATAATACAAAGTAAGTCATGTCATGTTCTTAATTTTGTACTGGGAGAGGGGGTGGAATCCAATTAGGCATTTATGTTTTGCCACTTGGGGGGAAGGAAGGGGTTAATGTTTGCGTTACGTAACGATTATAAAATTTATTTAAAATTAAATTATTGGAAAATGAAAATTCATTTTTTAATTAAAGCTTAGTAAAACTCTTACTGGCGTTACGTTATAGAGGGGTTAGGTGAAGGGGTTAGATTACCCGCCACATATATGTTCGCTCCCTGTTTTGGTCCCAGTAAGGGGAGGAGTGGGAGGTAAAAAATTGGGGTGAATGTATTTATGTGGTAGGCATAGATAAGACATTTAGGTAATATGTACTACTAAATATCTCTTATCTATGGTGGTAGGTATTTGAGCTAGTATTTAGGGTTATGTTTCAATTTATGAATGTGTTTGTAAACGAAAAGTAAAGTAAAAGAAAACAAACACATATCCTAATGACGATTCAAATTTTAAAATTAAAAGAACCGACGGTAATAGTAATGTCGGAAGAATTGTCAGGGGTTACTGTAGTAGGTATCATAGGTTTAGGTGTGTTAACGTTTCTGTTACTTTTCATTTTTGCAAAACGACAAATAATGCGTTTTGCTCTGAGATCTAGGAGAGGGCCACATGTTCCTGTGGGGCATGCAGCTAAAAAGTCATTAAAACAAGAAATTGAAAGGCGAATTGATATAATTCCAAGAATTGTTTGTGAACCGCAGCTACTACACAACATAGATTCAAAATACATTCTATGCCCTGGGCAACAGATACCTGCACATTACTACAGATTAAAAGCAGTAGATGATGTGAAAATTTTAGGTTGTACAGTACAATGTTTAATAGTAATCTAATAAAGTGTTATTTTTCATGTTATTTCTGTAGAACGTGAAATAGAAAGACAAGATCCTTGCTTAAAGAGGCATCCTAATGACAATTTACGGGCTTTCCTATTAACTGCACTTGCCGCACCTCTAAATGGAAGTGGTCAAAGGTTGGTTCATCAGTTTTGTGATTTATATGAACATGCAAGGCATGATCCTAATAATTTTGGTGATGAAGAATATCAGACATATACCAGATTATTTTTAAAACTGATGGATGCGTATGTTAATTTTTTTTCTCTAGATGAAATAAGTTGTAGCTGGTAGTTTAACTAATTAAAGATATTTTCAAATTACATTAGATTGAAGTTAATTAGGAATATTTCTTTTCAGTGCTAAATTATTGAAAACATTCAACAATAGTCAACATTCTTCTCCAATTCGAACTCCTCATAGACAGAAACAGCAAATTCGAAGTGGAGATTCATCTGCTTTAAGACTTGATACAGAAAGTACAATTACAAGTGATAGACCACCATCTATAAACTTATCAAATAATGAGACAACGGTATAGTGTAAGTACTTATTGTTACAGTTGGAAATAATCAGTTATTATAGGTTTAAGCTAAAATAATACTCATGCATTGTATTAGAAGATAAACTATTGTGTTCAAATTTAATTGACTAAAACTAAAAGAATAAACAAGTGTAGCATTATATTAGTATTAAATTAATGAAACTTAATTTCTTATCCTGAAATTTTTCATTAAGAATTGATTTGGAAAGTTTTAAAATTAAAACAGATACAAGTATGCTTGGGATTTTAATCTGACTCAAAGCCGTATCAAAAAAGATTAAAAAAAAATAGTTTGTTAAGTAATTTATTTTCTGAATAAAATTTAAGGAATTGAAGAAAAAATCGAATCCAATTGCATTACTGAATGAAAGGGTATAAATATAGTTTTTCACAAATATATTCTTTAATATTTGCAACAGAATACAATAACAAGTAAAAAATTGATATTTACAAACATGATGAGGTTTCTTACAATTATAAATGTTTAAACTAAGATTCGTTTTGAGGTTTTGACATGTTTCCTGAAAATTAAAAATCACATTAAAAATTCGAATTTGGAAAACTATTTCTTTTTCCACAATGTTTACAATCTATTAACATTAACTACTTTGTAAAGGTCTTAAAACAGATTTTATAATGCATAAACTAAATAACAATTTGAAATAATAGTCTTCAAATGCATTTAAACTTAGTTACGTTTTTTTTTTATTTAGACAACTCTGGTTTAGTATATATTTAATTTAATAAGCCTATTTCGTGAACATACGTGCATTATATTTTTTGGCAACTATTACTCATAAGTAGTCTTTTAAAAGTTTCTATCATAAGCACTTGTTTAAGAATAATCTAGTTAAACAAGCGTTAAAAATTAGTTTAACCTAAGTACTATTGAAACGTAACGATTGAATCACTGATTATTATAATAATTAATTTTTTAAATATTATTCCGTTTATTTATAAATAAGTTTGATCATTTTTTTAATTGCAGTTATGTCGTTTTTCTTTTATAAACGAGAACATCTGTATGTGGTGTGTAATATTTACAAAGAAAACTTAAAAAATACATTTCTATATTAAAATACGTTAAACTAAAAACACATGGATATTTTTAAGAATTCAGCTATGCGGATGCTTCCTTATTACATTTCGGCTCGGCCAGCTTGTGAGGATTGCCTTCAACGATCTGAGTTATCTGAAAATTTCATAAAATCCCGTTAAACACAGTAATAATTATCGAAATTATAAAATGCTACTTTTTATACAACTAAAACACTACTAATTTACACAATTTATTATTAACTCAACATGTTCCAACACATTGCAGCTTTTTGAGAAGTTACAACTTTCTAAGTTAATGAAAATTTGAAAAAATTTCAAGTTAGTGTTTTATTTTTGCAATGAATTTCCATCAAGTTAAGGTAAATTCAATTAGTTATTTTCTAGTTGTCGTTTTAATTCGTGTTGGTGTTATTTTTGCATATAAGTTATTACCATTATACATATGTTAAGATTTACCACTTATGATACAGTACCCGATAAAAATAAAATTGAATAACTAAGGCAATTTGAATACTTATGTCCGATAAAACTGCATTTAAAAAAACTGTAATTGTCTTAATAATAAATTGAAATTTAAAATATACAGATAATATGTTTGATTCCTTTTACGTATTCATTAATAACTGTTTAAATTCTAATTTTCGATATTTTCAATTAAATTAAAGACATCGACAACTTAGTTTTCATAAGATGGACAGTAAAAACGCCTTCTTAATGTGCTATTAAATACGGTAACATATTTATAAAATTATGGTTAACACGAAGACGGAAAAAAATTTGTTGGATATCTAAACGCGAAAGGTGTATTTTTTTTGATACATGCCTGAAACTTATTACAGATAACTGATTAGAAGATTAGAAATGAGAACACTCATGCTAATACCAACATGCAATAAAATATTAAGGGATAAACTCAAGAAAATTTCCAAGTTTATAAAAATATTTCACTAACAATAACATCTTTTTTTAATTACAATGCATGAAGAAAAAAAACACGATATTAACTCTTATCAAATTTAGAAAAAAGTGGTTCAATAGGCAGCCAGTACGCTTTTATTTCTTCATTTCAATTGGATAGACATTGTACAATGTTTTTTTAGTTATTATAAGTATTCGTTATTTAAAGTTTATGAAATATTAAAAAAGACACCGCTAAAGTAAGTAAAACAAAAGACACCCAAACATGCAGGTTTGGAAATTGAAAATTCTTCAGTTGATGATGGATATACAAAATTTGTGTACTTCAAAACATATTTCTGAGAACAAGTAACAAGAAAACAGAATTGTTTTGGAAGATTATAAATCTCGCCGTATATAACTTACCTCAAATACTGATTGCCATTACACAAAATAAGTTTTTTTATTTACTTGGATATTTAAATTGTACGAAGCATTCAATTCCCAAACCACAGAGGTAAAAATAAACATAAAATTGCTTATACAACTATTAGGAAAAACTGACTACGCATTTTAAATATTTCTCTTTTTAGAATCATATCTGATAGGCAAATAAAAATAATCACCCATAAAAAAAACAATAACTTTTATGAATAACACTAAGCGGTAATTTAAATAAGAAATTAAGATAAATGGCATTTGTAAGCAATAGAAAAAAAATGTGTTCTTTTTTGATTAGGAATATGTAAAAATATAGCGAAGGTTATTATTTCTTTTGTAAGGTATTAAAAATACATGAAAAAAGTAACAGAAATATATTTATCTTTTGAAGTATTAATTAACAACAAGATGACAAGTTTGATTGTTTCACAAAAATAGTCATTTAGAAGATAAAATAAATAACAGAAGCAATACGTGCTAGTCAGAATATGATTAATTTAAAAGTAACATAAAATGTTGTCTACTATGTTATATAAAATAGTATTTTTTTTCCACTGAAACGTTCTAATTAAAAAACTACAATACTTATTAAGTACAGGTCTGAAAAATAATAAATTTACTTTAAACTATGCAATAAACGTGAATGTAGAAGAATATTATTTGACATACTGTGCCCTTAAAAAGGAACATCAAGAAGAGACACATGCAGACAGAATCAATCAGAAAAGACTACCAAAGAACTTCACTATAAACTAATTGTTTTACATTGTGTGAAGTATAATGCAAGTGAAATGCATTCAACATAGATTTCTACTAACAACGAAAACAAAATCTACATAAAATCTAGAATAAATACAAAAAATTCTAAAAATCATGCAAAAAGACATTACCGTCGTAATATTTATTATGGTTAGTCAATATTTATCATGTTATGTTTATACGGATATATATTTACAAATGTACGGATAAAAAATATATCAATAAAAAGCTAATTCAAACGAGAGACACCAAAAATTGATTGGTTTGTTCGATTAGGCGGTTCTTATTCGTCGCTATATAATAGATTATTCGGGAGGAGGTGGAGGTTTATTTGGCGGAGGTTCTTGTGGAAGAGGCGGTGGAGCAACTACATTAGGAGGTAATGGAGGTTGTGGAGGGTACAAATAACTATTAGGATAATATTGTTGATAAACGGGGGGATACATGAAATTTGGTGGTATCGCGAGGCCGTGCGGCGGAGGCAACTGCATATTCGGTGGCGGATAGTTGAAAAAATAGTTAGACCGTTGCTGAACGGAAGGCGGCCGAAACGTTGGCATGCTATTAATTACTGTGGCGTCTGGGGGCCGGTTCTGCTCGGAACTACTAATTAACATTTGTGTTCTGTACTGTTCGCTTACCTTGTTGCTGTTGTATGAATTTCTCCCATTTTGCTTAGGCTCTCCGCTTAGACGTCCATGGTTCGATCTAGACATTTTCGACGGAGGTCCACCATTGCCACTACTACCAGCACCAGCAGCACCTGATGCACTCTTGTCTCGTTCCCTCTTCTTGATATTGTCGTTAGGAAAATTAATGAAGCCTTTTGATATTCTAATCTTCAATTCGCCAGGTGAATTCTGAGTTGAATTTTCCAGAGACTCAGTTTTAATCCTGTCCTTTGGTATCTTTATTTTAAGACCGGAACTAGTCGGTAGGTTTTCTGGAGGCTGAATTTTGTCTTTAGAAATTGTAATTTTTATTGGTTGGGCAACAACTTCCGTAGCAGTAGTGATCGTTGTTGGATTCTCATGCTTGTGTTTGTGCTTTTCCTTATCTTTATCCTTGTGCTTCTTTTTCTTTTCTTTCTCTTCTTTTGATTTATCTTTGTGCTTGTGCTTTTCTTTTTTGTTCTTTTTCCTTTCTTTGTGGTGTTCACGATCTTTTTCTTTAGAATCAGTATTTATAATTACCTGATCTGACTGTGCCGGAATAGTGACCGTTTGCAAGTGTGGTATCGTTGGCGCTTCTTTTAAGAGATTACTTATAAGCGTTGGATTCGTTTCTATACCGTTGACCAACGGGTGTGAATTAACTACTGCTGCAGTACTAGTGACTGTATTAGGTTTAGGAAACGGCAGTATTAAGTCAGGTGGTTTCATGTCTTTGGCTATTGAAGGATGAACGTCGGATCTTTCAGTTATCGGAGTAATAATGTCCGGCACTTGTAATTTTAGTCCTATTGAAGAATCGCGCATCAGATTTTCAAAACCCTCAACTTGATCGATTTTCTTCATCACAGGTCTAAGTTCTGGTTCTGAACTGCTACTCGATGTTCTACTCCTCTTACTACTGGTTGACGGTTTTGGAGGTTCCTGAGGAGGGTGCATTTTAGGTATATCTAGTACCGAATTACTGGAGGAGGGAGGTGTTTTAATACGACTTTTAGGGGGAGATGCTTCTGGAGAGAATAAGCTCGGCCTTTTAATGGGTAAATGGATATCTTTTTCTGGAACGTCCGTCTTAATATCTGGAACGTCTAGAAGAGATGGTAACGAATTAAAACTGTTTTTATTAGCATTGTTAAATGATGAATTTTCAATTTTGACCAAGCCCTGATTAGGAGCCATTTTATTGGAGAAATCTGAAACGAGCGGAGATTTAACTTTTTGCGAATTATCTAGGAGACTACTGTTTTTATCGAGATATTCACTACTTAAATGTCTCTTGATATCGGTTTCCAGTTTAATATTAGTTTTAAGTTCTTCACGTTTACGCGCAAACTCTTGTTTGTTCATAGACAACTTTGAATCGACGGGCACTTTAACAGACGTTCGCGACACGTCCAACCTTTTTTCACTATTAAAACTAATACGCGAATCGTTCAAGTTAACATCACAATTTACGTCATTCGCTATGATTGATTTCACATCATGTCTCTGACTAACATTATCGCGTTGTTGTTTCTGAAAGTCTTTATCACCAGGATTATACGGTGTTTCCTTGGAAACGTCTCTGTTAATGGTTTCGTTGCCCATTTCCCTGCCGTGTTCTTTTACGAACATTTCTCGAGGAACATTTTTACCATCCACCCGTGTTAAGTTCTGATGACCTGAAGACGATTGATGAGGTGCTCGGCCGTGAACTTTCATTTTAACGTCTGTTGACGTCATATGGGAATGATGCCCATGGGGTGGAGGCATGTGCTTATTACCGCTCACACTCATCGAAACAGGGTATTTACCGGCCATTCGTTCTCTTTCTTTTCTCTCCCTGTACTCCCTTTCTTTCTCGCGGTCCCTTTGATTACTCGAACTTGCATCATGAGGAAGTTTTTGTGTTCGTTTGTAAGGATCATCAACTGTAAAATTACAATTACATTGTTATTCTCTTTTAAAAATTGCAACTTATTTTAATAATAAATATAGTTAACTGAATTTTGCCCAAATTTTACTTACAAATCACAAGTTTACCTTTTGATGTTTTTGAGTCGAGATGGTGAGATCGATGAGAATGCGGCTCTTTTTGTTCAGGTGGCATAAATATTGCGACTCTTTTCTCGTCCTCCTGAAAATTTTGAAGAAGTTTTTTTAAAATGTTGGGAGGAAACAGTCACATCTAACACTTACAAGTGGTGGAGATGGATGGTGAGCCATTTGCCCATCTCCTACTAATCTTATTTTTTCTTTTAGTCTTGAAGGGCATCTTTCAAAAATTACCAAAAACTCTTCCGTAAGTTGCTGCAGCAGTTCTGCAGTTACAGTTGGATCCACATAAGAAAACCATTCTTTCTTTTCGTTTGAAAGGGGTATTTCCCAATTAGACCATTTACATGCCAAATGAATACAAAAGCATGCTACTACTGTTGGTTTATATTGCAAACACATTGTTGTTAAGTGAAGACTAAAAATTGACAAATAATAATTATTTTCTAGATGAAGCAGATAAATGTATTTTATTGTTGTAAATCTATGAAAAACCTGATTACAAATAAAATAATGGTGTTAGCGTGATAAGAGGAAATTTTGAGATCAGTTTTAATAATATAAATATTTGATATAAAAATTTAAAATTTCGATATTAAAATTTTTTTCATATGTATATATTCAGTAGAAAAATTAAGTATTCCAGTAAAAGAATTTTTCGCGATTTAAGTTGTAGGAATCCGCCACACAACTTTTGAGTAAATGGTAGTATCCTTCATAGTACTTTTTGAAACATTTGCAAGTTTTTGTTTTTTTTTTAATATGAATACTGAATTTTTAGTTTAATTTTAAATAACCATACCTGTTACTAGCCATAAAATAGGAAGTCTGGGCTAAATCTTTACTAGCTCTAACTAAGTGACAACATTTTACAACGTGTGTGTTTGGATGATCAATTGCTACATCGAAACCTAAAGTTTGTAACAGTACATTTTCATTAAATACCAAGTCTTGCGATTGGGCCAGGTACCTACAAAATTAACATATATACAGTAAAATATTCGAAAGAACATAAATAGGTATTATGCACATATATTACAGAGTTAAAGAAAGTATGTTCTTACCTTTCTGAAGTAGTATCAAATGTGGTGTCTCGGGGATTTTTACATAGATTTGCTACTCGAATAACGTGCTCCAGTTTCCGTGGTTGTTCTTCAACTTTTGCCGCTAGAAATAGGGCTGCGGAAGCAATTAAGTGCCATGGGAAGTGTGTGAAGGAATGGAAAACGTAAAAACGATGCATATATACTATAGCTGTATTGATGCATAATTGCGAACTAATTACGAAGTTAAGGAAAATTCGAAATCTTACATTGCATACATTTATATAAGAACTATAATACAGTTAGCCATTTCTAAAACTTTTTGTAAAGGTATTGTTTAATAAAATACACAATTATTTTGGTAAACAGAGTCGGCAATTATATTCGTTCTGCTCCTCTCATAGTTTCCTTTTTCATATAGTTTATGGTGGTACTTTTGAATGAGTTTGTACTTGCTTACTCCTTATTCATATCTCACCATTATTTCGCACGATAAGTACAAGAAAAATAAAAACGCGGACAATGCATAAAGATTGAATTTTTTTAGAACATGAAATTGATAAGTATGTACATTACATTACCTAGCCTAGTAAATTTTATCTTACTTTAACAATAACAGTCAAACTTTACTAAAACTATTAAACCGGCAACATTAAAACACAAACAATAGTTTATTTTTAAAGGAGATGAAATTTAAATAAATAAATATATTTCCTTGATTGCATTTTGATTATATACCACACACAAATAAATGAATTAATAAAAGCTCTGCATTAATGATTTTTTTTAAGGAAAAAATATAAACATAATCCTTCATTCTAATGTATGTAGCTTGTAATGATTTTATATTATAATAAAAGATAAAAAATAGTTTTGATATATTGAAATAATTCGAAACAGATAAATTATTTAATTACTCGCAAGTTATTTTCTGCATAAATGTTCATTGAAATTTGAAAATGGAAGAAATAAATAATTCTATTATTAATAAAATCTTACAGAATACTTTGTAATGTACATGTTTTTTTTTTACAAAGTGAGTTCCAAATAAACTCTGAAATTTTTTTCTTTAATGAGTACAGTAGAATTTTGAATTAGAATAGCCAGTGTTGGTGCTGTAGTTTAATACTGACAGATACAGATTTAAACAGTTGACTTTGTATTTATAATTACTTATTAAATTGTTTTAAGTAATTTAATAAAAACAGTAGAAAACACATAACACAGAGAGCATTATTAAACCTTACAGAAATATTCATAGGCTCACTTCATACATATTTTAATAATAGAAACAATGAATAATGCATTGTATATTTATTTCGATATTCGAAAAGGTTTCAGTCTGTATTAGAAACATTTACAATCATTTACCACCTATGTGAATTTAATTTTATACTGAAAGCTTACGAGTGATAAACAGCAAGAGTAACATATTTAATAATTAAGCTGATTTTGATTTATTTTTAAATGAATGAAAATAACGTTTTACACTTCTCAAAAATATATTTATTTACTTTACTATCAACTACAATAAGATGAATATACAAAACACGAAGTTGCTGCAATAAAACAATATTAACAAGCTTCTTTGCAACCAATAATAAAATCCAACTGATATGTTATAGATAGCAACACATAAAAACCCATGACGTTAACTAAATATATATATAGATTGATGATTCCTTGAAACAAATTCCATAAAAAGCACAATAAATAAGTTTGCTGGAAATAAATAAAATAAATTGATAAACTTGCGTGACGTTGCTAATATAGGAAAGGTTTGTTTGACCTTGTGTTGATGAACTTCAATAGGAGTGCAAACAGTTCAACTTGCTATTTTTTGTAAGATCACTATTTTGGTTATGATGCCAACATTATGTTGCTGCTTTTACCTATTTTCATCTATTGGAATTAGGTAAAACATTACATATTGAAGAATGTAATGTTAAAATAATAACAAAACGAGAAATTAGAAGTCTGAGAAATGGCGTGAATAACATTCGTTATACATACAAATAAGTATGGCATGTCCAAGGATACACTTTTAGTCTTTGCCCCAAATCCTGGATAAAATTTGCAGCCTGTTGTCTGTAAGATAATTCTTTGTACGCTTCTATTCCACACTGTCTTGATGGAGAATTATCCAGCTGCTCTTTTGTAAAATACCATCTTTCTTCGTTATTATTACTAGCCATTTACGCACGGCACGATAAAAAACTGAACAGATGTCGCTACCTCGGCACCAAATAATGCGGTTCATTTGATTATTTTTATTTAGTTCATACTAATATCACGAGCATAATCAGAGTAGTAAATCAATATTATAAAAATAGGGAATGAAAAAAACGATGTTTTGAAAATGTACGCGATTTGCTTATTTTATCGGTGAAGTGTGAACATTGTCGTAATATCACTTACGGTGAGTTTAGGTGTTGTTACGTGTTGTGGAAAGTTGGCCAATTTCTTAGGTAAATTTTAATATTTAAATATCACAATTATATTGAAATGAAAGTTTATAGTTCGTTTTACATACCACGATAATAATTATTCAGTCACTATATTAATTAATGTCTATAAATTTCACAAGTGTAAAACTTCCAGAAATTGACGTGTTTCACCGTGTAATGGCCGAACCACCACTAAATCCAAATTAGTTACTGAATTGACAATTGCACAAAGTGTGAATCAAAAATAATTTATAGTATTAATGAAATTTATGTTTATTCGTAAAATTGATATCCTAATTAATATAGTATATTTATTATGTTATTTTCTTTTACATGCTACTTTTGTAGTGTTCATTTGACTATAGTATTGTATTGGCGGGAAGTTTAACATTTGCAGTTTATCCCAAAATGCAAAATGAAAAAGCATTTCTTAAAATAAGATCGTCTCCACTGAGTGAAGAAGCTAAAGAAGCTCAAGCAGCATTGAGGGCTCAAATACAAAATGAATTGCAAAATAAGAAGCAGTGCAACTATCAACCTCATGAATGCACTCAATTGAGTTTGAATGGATATGATTACTGTTTTCGTCATATTCTGCAGGATAAGTGCGCACCTTTTAAACAGTGTGCTTATGTGTACCCTGTTACATCAAAAAGATGTTACATGCCAGCACCAAAAACAGATAAAAAAGAACCAATGTATTAAAGTTTGTTTGTGTTTTTTTCACATATATTTACTATTAATTTTTTAGTTACTGCAATGAACATGCATTGAGAAATCATTTACATAAAGCAAAACGAAATGCACGATATCCTCCACCAAAGAGCACAGAAAATTTGTTGTATTCATTATCGCACCATCTTAAGAAATCTCGAACACGTTCTACTTCTTCCTGCACACAATATTCAGATGAAGGGCGCAGCACGCCTGACGAGGGTGAAGCTAAAGTAACCAAAAGTGTTGATCCATTTAGTAAGTATTTATAAAAAGTTGTGTTAACAGATTAAAACAATCAAACTTTTCTAGTTGACATAGACGCTGCTGCAATAACTTCATCAAGTAGTACTATATTAGATGTCTGTAGTGAATCTGAAAGCGACGTAGAGGCTGCAACGTATTCTTCAGTATGGCATGATTCACATGCTGAAAGTTCAGACGAAGAGAGCGTAGATTCTGAGCAAGAAGATGTTTTGAAGTAAGTTTATTTATTTATTTAATTATTTATTTATTGAGAAAATAAACCGAAAATCTGAAAGATTTAAATTGGAAAATATTGATGATTTTAACTAAATGACCTAATGAACACTTAATATTATAATATCATAAAAATAAAAAGAAACCAAAGTGTATAATTTATACAGTAAAGTTTTAATTAATATAAGAATTTTTATGTCTTGAAGTTTTACCCATTTGGTATTTACTAGCTAATACATTCTCTAAATATTAAGTAAATGCAACAGATTATAATTAACAACAAGTAGGTTTAATAATTTGGCTTTTGTAGTCATATTAAAAAGCACATAATTTTTGGATATAACAGACTTTTTTATGCAATCAATGGGCTATACAGTCCTCTATATATTATTTCAAAAAAGGGCGCTTACAGAAAGAAAATACAAATTAAACAGCGTAAATTAGAAGCATTATTCTTCAGTAACATTAGTTTAATGTTACTTTCATAAATAGGGATTTCACATTGCATTTGAAAATTTTTTTTAAGATTAACATTTTTATGTATTTTATAGATAAATAATAAACTTTTTCTAGCTCTGAACAGAAATAAAATTATTTCAGATTTAATTATAATTAATTTGGATTAAATCAACTTTAACATATTATTCGTGTAATGTTTTTCCATAATATAACAAAAATAATAAATAAATGACTAAGTTTTTAATTAATTTTGTTTTTAGACATGCAAATGTTTACACTGCAGAAGAAATTACTTCCATTACTAGAGATAAATTGATTCGTTTACAAGCATTGTATATTGATCAATTTCGTCATTTGAATTATCTTTTGCGAGAGCGGAGGCGCAAATACTTGCACTCATTGAAACGCGAAAAAGAAAGTTTTTGTAAGTGTAATGTAAGTGTTCATAAAAGTATTCTAAAATATGTGTTGTAACAGGTAGTATTAATGACCAAGTTCGGGACAACCCTAAGGAACTTCGTTTATATAAGAAACTGAAAGCATATAATAATTATCACAGATTGCATGGTGTTGAAGCTGTTTGCAGGAAAAAGGAATTAGAACAAAGGTTGCAGGTACCATTAATTTACATTATATATATCCCCGATTAAATTTATACTACCAATATGTGAACTATTTCAGATAAAAACCACTTTGTTAGACAAAAACTTCAACGTTTCATCCTTTAATTGAGATCTTTTTCAAGGGAATTGTATAATCAAACAATAAAGTTCAGTCATCTTCAAAATTTCATCTGAAATTGTAAAATTAATTAAATAGCAGAAAACATTTTAAAAACTCGCCTTTTATAGCGTTATTTAATAAATTACTTAATTAAGTATTTTTTGAAGTACCGTTTTACATTTAGACATGCACTAAGTAATTTATTGGGTAATGCTGTGACGGTTTTTAAAAATGTTTTGTATTGTTTGACTAATTTTACAATTGATTTTAAAATTGTGGTTTTTAAAAGTTATTAGAATTATTATTACTATAAGAAGATTGTTTATTTTTTGATTCGATAATTTTCTTGAAAAAGTCCTCAATGAAAGGGTGAAACGTTAGAGTTTTTATCTAATAAAGTGGTTTTTTCATTCGAAAAAGTTTATATATTGGTATTGCAAGTAGTTACTAGTACTTATATTTCTCTGGTCTCCTTCGTCAAGTCCGTTGATATAGTTGTTTATCCTACGTTTCGTTAACTGCTGTGTTTGGCATCCTCAAGTAATATGACGAGTGTGTAAAATCCTTCCCTAACAATCTCAATATAACTTCAACGAAAAAATTTATGCCATTTTCTTGAAGAGTGTCAAACACATCAACTGACGAAACGTCGGATAAACGATTCTATTATCGAAATCACCGAAGGAGGAGAACCAATTCTAGGCTACAGCCATCAAGCTCTAATATGAAACCCTCTTTGCCCTAGCCTTTTCATTTGGGTATTTATTTTATAGATTATTATATGATTTTAGAAAACCGAGGGCATTCATCATAGACCTCCAGCTTACATCAAATGTTCTTTTACTGAAGGAGGGGTGCGTTGTAAGGAACGAGCTTTACCAGTTGCAAGACACTGCAGAAAACATATATTACAGGTAATATTGCATTAGAAAAACAGAAGTACAAAAAACTTAAAATGGAATCTTACTTTAGTGTGGTTAATTCTATGCATGTATTATTTCTTTTTTGTTTTTACAGGATTCTAATCAAGTATTGTTTAGGGCTTGTGGTAAAGTAAATGGAGATATTGCATGTAGTACTCCTATTGAGGCAATCTTTGATGGAAGTACTTGTAATTTGCACATGGATATTCCACCTTTAAGATCGTATGCTCAAATAAGAGTAAGATAAAAAATAATATAATTTGTCTATATATTTCTGAATTCCTTAATTTTTTCTGTTTCATGACTTGCGTTTATTTTATAAGAGGTAGATTTTTCTAATTTTAATTCTGTTAATTTCATTAAATTAATTATTGTATTTTTTAAAATGTTTCATATTTTAGAAGGATTCGGAATCAGATTTCGACGATGTAGAGGAATCAAAACAACATTCAGCATGTTCATCATTAACTGAAAAACCAGTTAATTTCGAAAAAGATGAAAAATATCTTTCTTCTATAAAAGAAGAGGATTCTAGGACTTTTTTAGTTACTGATATTCCTGCTGTTCAAATGGAAAAGCAAATTAAAATGGAACGTAATACTTCTGAAAATTCAACAAAAGAAAGAGAGGATATGACTTTTGACGCCTCGTTTGATAGTAATAGTAACTCTTTAAAAAAAGAAGATGTAATAGAATAAGGAAAATTCGTTAATATAAGTTTATTCCTCTTCTTTCTAATTAGTATTTTCAGTTTCATAAATTTAACAGTATTAGTTGATAACATTACCATTTTTTGTATATGATTTTCCTATTAAAATTGCATTTAAAGATTAAATTTTAAAGGCTACTTTTTTACGGCACCCTGAGTAACTACTCTGATAAGTATATTAATATTTTTATTCAGTTAGCTACTAACTAATGTGTCTAATTCAAGATTATCTTGGATATTGTCGATTATGTGAGTTTCTTTTTATTCTATTTCCCGCCTTCATTTAAAACTACTTCCTTTTGTAATGGTGTTCAAGGTGAAGATAATTGATACTATAAGATCTTTTATTTTTTTTTTTTTATTATTTTGCTCTATTTATTTTGAATGAATATTTTCTTATTAAATTATTCAATGTCGAAAACGTTTCTAATTATTAGAATATTAACAAGAAATTATAGTAAACTGAACTTTCGATATACAAAAATTATAAATTGTAAGAGAAATAATAAAATGTTCATTATAGCACTGTTGAACCAAATGTGATAANTATATTTTTTTATTTTAATATTCGCCACCAATTATTCAGCCCTTAATTTCCCTAACGCCCTCTCTTAATGTTTCAAATTTTCTGACAACAATTTTAGCTAGGATTTAAACCCTTTTAGATGTGTCTCTACCTATTTGTGCTCTCTTGCCAGTAGATGGAGACATATAATGCTTATGTCCATAGAAATGCTTCTTAGTTATAGTCTTGATCTATGGCTTGTTTAGAGGTTTTGACGTCACACGGTGTTGACAATATTAAAAGCGCAAGTTGGAATCAATGGAATTAAGTCATTTACCGAAGAAAATAGAATTTCAGATAAAATATTTCTCCTCTCAGTACAGTTTATTAATTTATCTTTTTTGATTTGCTTAAATATTGAAATTTTTTTTGATAATGAATCCTGTATTTCTACAAAAACAAATTCGAGATAATGCGACAGATTTACAAGATTTTTATAAAGAAATCTCTGAATGGGGAGAAGAAATGAAACAAAAAGATAAATTATTATCGTCTAAACAAAAACATGAGGTAAGTACTCTAATTATTAGTAGTCATTCACATTAATGTTAACATTTGAAAGGCAACTTTATTAGAAAACTCTTGATAAGATGGAAATATCAATAGGTGCATTTAAGATCAAAACATTAACAAATGTATTTATATTTAAATTTTAACTTGGTTTGCTATTGTATCTAGGTAGATAAAAAAGAAAGCCGTAAGAAGCCAAGAAAAGAAAAAATAACAGAGAAGAAAAGTCGTATTCAGGGTTTGGATTATTCTTCTTGGGATAAATATGATGTGGAAGCAGAATGTGCTAAATTAGATGAAGACAAGTACAAGCATGACAGTAGTAGTGATGGATCAGAGGACTTGTCAGATGAATTTGATGAACAAACAAGAGAACAAGCCATTCTTGAAAAAGAAAAGGTGATTTATAAAAATTGGTAGAAATAACCATTATTAATTTTTTACATTCTTCAGGGCAATAAATTTGTTAAAAGCCAAATGTGGGATGAAGCAATTCTATGTTATACGCAGGCCATTAAATATTATGGTTATGATCCCATTTTTTATGCAAATAGAGCTTTATGCCATCTGAAAAAACAAAAGTAAGCACTGTTAATTGACTGAGATATAGAAAGAAAAAAAATGTAATTTGTAGTAATAAATTCTATAAAAGAAAACCACTACACATTCACTATAGATTTAAAGATGTCTTGTGGGTTGACACAAATGTTATTTGTTCATTGAAAAAATAATTTATTTAGTACTGTGATTGTTGTTTAGATATAAATTATACTACAGTAATTTATATACTTAGTTAATTATTTTTATTTCATTAGTTTTAAAGCTGCTGAAAGTGATTGTACAGTAGCCCTACAGCTTGATAAAACTTATGTGAAAGCATATCAGCGCAGAGCAGCAGCAAGAGAAAAATTAGGTCAATTACAGCAGGCTCATGATGACCTCCTTAAAGTTTTTGATTATGAATCAAACAACAAAGAATCAAAAGCAGCATTAGCCAGAATAGAGAAACTCATGAAGAACTGTGGGAATAGGGTATTTTATATTTTTAATTATTAATAAGTAATTGTTTGCTCATTTGTAATGGTAACTTTTATATTAGGTTCCTTCTTCAACAGAAACTACTATTCAAAGACCTAAATCAAAATTTACCATTTCGCGAAGCAAGCAAAAAGAAAAAGTTGCAAGTTCATTACAACCTCAAGAAGTGACTCAGTTAAAACAAGTATTTCCAATAGAATCGGAAAAAAGTGACAACGAAAAAGATATTAAAAATATTTGGTTTGATAAAAAGGATGTGGAAATTGTACATCCTGTTATTAAGCCAGCACATTTGCGATCAACAAAAGCATTAAAACGCGTTGAAATAAGAGAAACAAGTGGTTTAAAGAAATTTAAGGAATCGACAAAAAATAAGAAAGCAAAGAATGAGTCATCTTTTCCATTTGTTGGCGAAAATAGTTCCTTAATATGCGATAATTTAAGAGTTATAGAAAGAAAAGTAACTGAATGTGATCCAATAAAAACAACCAACATTACTCAGGAATCTCAGTTTGAAACAAAATCAGTGATTGATGGTGATAACAAATTGTCTTTCTCTGTTCCCCAAACTTCTGTACAATTTTTGGGTGATTGGACAAAGTTGAAAAATGATTCTGAAAATAGATGTCGTTATTTGAAGAATATAAAAGCATCAAATTTACCAAACATATTCAAATTTTCACTGGAAAGTGATATCTTTAGTGACATATTAAAAACAATTGCAGATGGTTTCATTGGTGAAGAAAGTTATGAGTATTTAATGGCAATAACTAAAGTTAAAAGATTCGCAACACTAGCTATGTTTATGACACCAGAAGACAAAAAATGTAAGTTAATTTCATTAAAATTCTTTGATCTATTTTTAAAACGTGATATTACAGGTGTGAATAACGTTATAGAACGTCTGAAATCCAGTGGTTTAATTTCTAATGATCAAATTGATAATTTAATTAAGAAATATGAAATTGATTAAGTTGTTTGCTAATTTGTAATGCAAGGTATCTCTATTTATTATGTATATAAATGAATTCAAATAAAGTTAGTTCATACAAATTTTGTCAATTGATGGGATATTAAATTTTCAATCAAATCGGTAAATTTTCATTTTACTCAATCTATTGGTTTCTACAGTGAAAAAAAAAACAAAAACTATAAATGAACAAGTAAATTTTGGATAGTTGTATAAGGTTAATAAATATGACATGTACTATATTGAGAATTTGTGGGAGTAACATAGTCACCCTACAATAAAAAATATCAGGTATGTTAAGTATTTTTGATAAAAATTATTTTATGAATTCAAAAAATTAACCAAAGGTTGAAGTAAGTGTTGTCTCTTATTTGAAAGTCATTAAGAGATAAAACGTATTTGCGTAAGGATTCCGGTAACTTTTTTATACCATATTTTATCGAGTAAGAGTCAAAAAATATACTCTAAAAAATACGTCTTCCTTGTTTTTTGCTATAAGTACTACTGTTCTTATATAATACATGAAATCGTTTGTTAACATTTTATGTAGTTTATTTTTTTAAAATACGTACATAGTAACGTATACGGATGAAAATCCACGAGAACGATGAAAAATGTTATCAAAATACTCTTTGTAATTTTATAAAACCATTTCCCTTTTTTAAATATCCGCCATGAAATGCTCATCGTATTGTGGCGACATCTACTATTATTATAAATGCATTTTATTTGAAATTTTGTTGGTTATCAATTTTTCAACGAATTGTTTTGTAAAACGTGGTAAGACTAAAATACTATTACTATGTTATATCTCATGACAAAAGTTTTTGTGATTCGAAAATTTAATTAGGTTGTTTGATTTTCTATATATTAAAAAAACGAATAAGCGTTTAGTTAAAGTGTAAGCAGTTAATTGACTTTAACAATGTTATGTGCCTGAGATTTGTTGTGTGTAGAAAACTCATGCATGATTTTGGATGTTGGAGAATGGTAAGTGGCTTTATATTTCGTTGTATTTCTACTGAAAATTATTTTGCATTATTCTGAACAACTTAAATTTCGGATAATAATTACAACAACATATATGTATAAGTTTCCAACAGGAAAATTAAAATTTAAATATTATGGGTGGTGGTGTTATCTTTCAGGTTTTAATTTGTCTATTGCTACTTGTGTAGTCAATCCGAAATATAACTTATAATAATTGTAGGTACTTTTGAGGAACCATATTTCGCTTAGAAGCAGGTCGAATATTTATATCGGAAACAATAAAAGTAATCCATAACCTAACCTAACCTAACCTCCATTTTTCTTTAATAAAAATTTACCAATTAAACCAGCAAATAAAAATTTTTAATCGCAATATCGGTAGACACTTTTTCTGCCGATACAAATTTAAAGTTTGTTATCTAAGTTATTTATTTGATCATACTTGTACGCATAATAAAAGTAGGTGTGTAAGTATAGCTAAAAGTATAGATATATGATTGTACATTATAATATTTAAGAAATGTGCAAACTGTAGGCATATACTATTATCGATTAATTCGACAGTCGTATCATCTATCATCAGTGCGAATGGTACATAGTCACTGCTAAGAGCCCTTTTGCCTTTTAACTCGTTTATAGCGAGTCAATTCTCCAATATAACTTTGAGGTAGGGCTCCAAATAAGTCGGTTTCCGGTAAATCAGACAATTGTTGTCTTTCATTTTCATCTCGTGCTTTAAATTCTCTTTCTCTCCTTAAGCCAATTTCGTCATCCAAAATTTGATCGTCATATTGCCTCCTTCTTCTCGGAACGAGTCTTTTGTATCTGTTATTGCTATTTGCATAGTTTACGGAGGGATTATTGTTTAAAAATTCAGAATCTCCAGCGTCCACGTTTGGATTGTAAAAGTCGTACTCTGTTTGTCGTTTACGTTGTCTATTCTTGTCGTAATATCCTTCTTCGTCAAATTCGTCTCCTTCAATTTCCATTTCGTAATCGTCATCTTTATATGGAAAGTAAGGCCCCTCTCCCCGTTTTCTCCTTCTATAGTAATATTCGTCGGGAGCGTAATCACGAATATTTTCATATGCTTCGCGTTTCTTTCTTTTTAATTTTTGTTCGGCGTTACTTTTGACGGAAATGCCATCTAATCTTTTATTTTCTGGTGACAAACCTCTTCTGTTGCGAAGTTTTTCTTTTGCTTCTACATTTCGTTCTTTTGATTTACTAGACGTAGGTATTTCAATTTCCACATTTCGTTTGTGTTGGGAAAGAGGATCTTTTATTTTTTCTGGAGATCGTTTTTGTAACGAATCTTCCGTCTGAACATTATCCATTGCATTTAAATTGTTTTCAATGTCCTCATTTTTCGAATTTACACTCTTTTTATTAATGCTACGGTTATTCATATTGGACTTGTCTTCAGATTTTTGCTCTTCTTCGTTGATATTTTTTTGATTTAGATTGATAGAGGTGTGCCTTCTTCGTCGTATGAGTGGTTTTAAATTGTTTTCTATATTCAAGCCAGGGTCTATTTCTGGCGTTTCTTCGTTAAGAAGATTTATGGCAGTTTGCCTTTTTGTCCTAGACGATTCGTTAGGAACTGGCATCATAATGGACCTTTTTTCTTTATTTCTTAACGTTTCTATTTCTTTTCTAACTTCCTCCTTTATTGCATCAATTTTGGATTGAATATTTCTTTCTATACGTTCCTGATAGCTAAGTTGATTATTGTCTGTGCCAAAAAGTGCGGAGGGACTTGTGTTCTGATTAAGAGGTGCGTTTAAATTATCGGAAGAAGCTAAAGGTGATTTGTTACCCGTGATAGTCAATTCGCCTTCCATGTTTTTCATTATTTCAGAAGCGTCCGATTTTTCTCCTTCTCTCTTTGCACGAAGGTTGTCTTCTTTTGTATTTGTGCTAGTTTCGGAATTTTTACTTTTCCTATTTTTACTAGAAATATTCTTTTTGTCTGCTTCTTTTTTTTTGAAATGCTTAGCAATTACACTTTCCGAATGCTGATTTTTATCTCTCTTGTGTTTAATCTCATTATTATTATTAATTTCTATTTTTTCTTCCCTTTTATTTCGTTCATTCACGTTGCCAACTTTGGTAATTTCAATTGTGTTAGTTTTACCTTCGAGATTTTCATCTTCTTCGTTATAAATCGATCTTTTGACAGGTGCATCTATTTCTGAATTATCATCTTTTTCGGCCAATCCCATTTCTACCAGGAGACTTCGCAAACTCCTTTCAACAGTTTCCATATCTTCAGACGAAGTTGGATTTCTCATTTTATCTAAAGTGGACTTTAATTTTTGTATATGGTTCTCATCTACACTTATTATGTGTTTTTTGGATTTGTCGTTACTCTCCGTAATACCATATTCGTCGCTCTTTTCCTGATCCTGGTCTTTATTTTCATGTTGGTGCTGTTTGTGACTTTTTTTACAACAGTCAGATCCGCGTTTTTTGAGCGAAACTTTTTCTTTTTTTGAACTCTCTTTTACAGGATTCTCCAAAGACGAAAAGTCATCGATTTCCGAGTTCCTTTTAACCATAGCTTCTTTTTTCGCTAATATTTCCGACTGTTCTTTAAAATTTTGACTTTTGTCACATTCTCTTTTTTGTTGATATTTATTTTCGTTACTCGTTTGAGAATCGAAAGTATCACGCTTGTTAGTATTTTCTTGTTCTAAATTAGGCGCTATATCGTCGGATCGCTTGAATTCTGGTGAATTGTCGTTACCGTACTCTTCATTAGTATTTATAGGGTATGGATTTTCGATTAAATGCTGCGTTTCTTCCAATCTTTTTCCTATGTGAGAATTTTCACGTAATTTTCGTACTGGATACGTATTTTGTGGCGATTGAACGCTTCCTTCTAGATTTTTAATATTTCGATATTCGCGAGGTAAAGGCTAAAAATTGTTTTTATAGTTTAAAAGGGTAATAAACGGTAAATGGTAAACACCTCTAAAATCCCCAATGGTTTTCCATTATTATAAACAATTCCGTAAGGAAAACTATCTCTAGATGTTCGATAGTCTATGTTTTTATCTTCTACCGTGTTTTTGAGTATTGTGGGATCGTAAGAGTCATAATTATTTTGTAATAAGACCCTTTTGTATTTAATGGCGTCTATATTATTCGAATCCACCGATGATGATTCATAATCGTTAGTTTCGTCCTGTGCATCAATCTGTCTAAAAACAAAATGCTTAATCCGACATATAAATTGAAATTTGTTGAAACTATGTTTTTTTTATTCAATGTTTAAGAGAAAAATATTTTTAAGAAATGACCTTATACAACAGTAGGTACTTACCCTATTAAATGTTTGATGTTTTTGTTTACTGCAGACTCTCCTAATGAAAAGCCATATCTAATGGTTAGGACTTGTAAAATACAATAAAAATATAAAAACATATTAATACAGCACTAATGTCAGTTTTGTGTTTCACATGATAGTCTTTGTGTCATCAGTCAACTAGGCATATGCGATTTAAAGAAATCGCCACTTCGTCAATTTAGGACAAGTAATAAAATTTAATTTAAACACAATCACAAATAATATAATGAGGCATTTTATAAAATGAATAGAATAAATTTCTGCCATTAAACAAACGAGATAATTTGAGCGCACTGACAAGAGTACATGGTAAACGTTGCACAAAAAAACATTATTTTGTTAACAATACTTATTTACATTTGTCATTTAAAAACGTGATGCTAACTTTGACATTTGTAAACCACAAATATTAAGTATCTGCTTATGTAGTTAATACAATATTTTCGTTTAACAAATTAATTAAATGAGTAATTATGTAATTAAACTAAAATGAGATTTATCCATATTACCACTATAAATTGATTATTGCGGATAGGTGTTTCGTCCACGGTAGTGGTAATTTGGGTGAGTTTCTTTTTAGTTTAATTAGTCATTTACCACCACATTTCGTAGACTGAGAACATTTTTGAAACTGTGTGGGGTCGATGAGAGTAAAATCTCAAGGCCATGAAACGACACGTTTTGCAACGTTTTGTCTCGCGAAGCGATACGCTGTGAGAATAGAAAGGCGCGCATGCGCATACCGGCATTACAGTCAGCTGTTAGTGACCGGCATCTCATATATTATAGTATAATGTATATTCACTATATTTTCGTTATATCCAGTTATATCTGTGCAGTTATATTGCAGTAAGTGCAGAGGCAGATTAAATGTCGAGAGCGCTCTAGGCTAGCACCTCATAGGCGCCCCTCTGGCGGTCATATATTTTGCAAAATACTTTTTTTTATTAGGTACTTCCTTATTTTTTTTTTTTAGTTTTAATAACTTCCGCGCGCGCCCCTTTTTAACCTTGCGCCCCCAGGCATATGCCTACTTTGCCTTATGGATAATCCGCCGCTGAGTAAGTGTATTACAGTAAATATTTATTTAACAGCAATTAATATTTAATTAAGAGTTAGTATTATTATGTTTTTATTATAATTCCTTGTAGTTATTGATAATTTACGGTTTCTGAAGCACTTGGAAAAATTGGAATTGCATAGAAACGTATTAAACGTAATACTTCTTAGGTGGACTAAAGATAAAGTATGTTGGAAAAAATAAATCCTGAAAATTCTCGTACTCTTTCTTTCTTTCATCAATCATTACTTATTTGTTATAAAGGTATAGAGATCGCCAAAGAAGTTTCACTTCTTTCACGTGTACTGAATTGCACCTGTTTTTTTTTTATAGTAAAAATTGATTTTATCAAAATATCTCTTTAAATATAAACTATTGACAATACTCTAAAAATTGCACTTTTAGCCTGTTTAAGACCACCGCAGCTGTTGTAATTGTTAATCAGTTTGATGTCTGTTCTCGACTGCTTATAAACGAATGAAAGCAAATGTTTTTTATAGAAAGGAATATAAATTTTAATATTTTTCTATCTTCTACATATGTTCTAATGATTTACTTATTTTTTACGGTATTAAACACAGCTTTGAATAGAGACACCCCAATAAAATCTTTAACAATGTTTGGCGGTTTTTTACTTATTATTGTCATTTAAAGAAAGTGGTCGAGATCTAAAGCAGGTCGGCGAACAGGCAGAT